GATGAGAGGAGAAGAGGACTGGTGCCAGAGTGATGGATAGATAGATAAGGAGGGAGAAAGAGAGAGAGAGAGAGAGAGAAAGAGAGAGAGAGAGAGAGAGGGAGGGGCTGATATAAATAACCCATATATGCTGCTATAAATAATCAATAATCATTGGACGCTTGCATCAGCCAATAGGATTGAAAGCAGCCCGTACAGCAGCCTGATGCACTGATGAGCCGATCCTATTGGCTGATGAAAGCAGCGGAAGCAGCCTATTGGCGGACTGCTTGACTCCACACAGATAAACGTCACTGGTGTCGTCATTCGTTCTAGAGATTGATACTGAAATGTAAACTGTTTTTATTCTGATCGAAACTCTGAACAGCGTCCGGAGCCGCTGTCCGGCCCGTCAGTGCTGAAGTGCTGTCCACTAGAAGACTATGACGTATGATAAAACAATCATCATATTTAGCTTTAAATATTCATTACTTTAACTTAAATTGTTGTTTTGAAAGGAAAGATGAATTAATTACGTAATTTATTATACTGACTCGTCATTTTGAATTAATGAATAAATTCTATGAATGAAATTATTTATTCACCAATATGTACACATACACAAATTAGTGAATACTTTGAAATAATATAATCTAATATTTAATATGGATTTTCTAAGTGAAAATGAACACACTGTTAATTTGTAATTTTTTTTTGCAAATTATAATGTATAATTTTTATTTATCTGCTGAGTTTAACATAAATAAGATATAAAATATGAAAATATGAAATGTATAAAATGTGCCACAACGTTTGCACAGTGCACAGCCCCCCCTCCCCCCATATATATATATGTATATATATATATATATATATATATATATATATATATATACAAAAAAATGCATGTCTAACTATGAGCTGTTGTTTGAATGTGTGTCCAGTCTAAATGTAGAGATGTCGAGGTGTTTGTGGTCCAGCGCTGGGCGGGAGAATAAGCGTGTCCCGCAGCTGTAATGTAATGAAGCACGCGCTGCTGAAAGGTCTGGATGACCACTTGTTGCCGATATCCGCGCCTTCATCCTCCTCCTCCTCCTCCTCCTCCTCTCCCTTCTTTTCCTGCGGATGTGATCTGTCCGCTGGCGGGAATGAACCGCGCTGGTTGATGGGTGTAATTTGGCCGCTGATGGATGGAGAGTGAAGGGGAGGAGACTCGCCACCATCCGGCCTCGCATTTACCCAAATGCACCGTGACAGGGCACCGCGAGACGCTCCGGGACAACCTGGGTTAGGGGGAGGTTAGAGCCGCAGGAGAAAGAGACACCGTCAATAGACCACCACACAGCATCATAACACCACCACAGACCCTCGAAGGCTATGATAAAGGCATAAAAAACAACATCCACCATAATAACACCATCACAGACCATCATCCACCATCATCCACCATCTTAACAGCGTCACAGACCACCATTCACCATCATCCATCAGTGTAACCCCATCACAGACCATCATCTGCCATCATCTACCAGCATAACCCCATCACAGACCATCATCTGCCATCATCATCTACCAGCATAACCCCATCACAGACCATCATCTGCCATCAGCTACCAGCATAACCCCATCACAGACCATCATCTGCCATCATCTGCCATCATCTACCAGCATAACCCCATCACAGACCATCATCTGCCATCAGCTACCAGCATAACCCCATCACAGACCATCATCTGCCATCATCTACCAGCATAACCCCATCACAGACCATCATCTGCCATCATCTACCAGCATAACCCCATCACAGACCATCATCTGCCATCATCTGCATCATCTACCAGCATAACCCCATCACAGACCATCATCTGCCATCATCTACCAGCATAACCCCATCACAGACCATCATCCTCCATCATCTACCAGACCATCAAAACCAGACCATCACACACCTTCATGGCACCATCATAACACCATCACAGACCATCTTAACTCCAACAGAGCATCATACACTAGAAAAACACCATAACAGACCATGATATCTCTTCATATATACAAAAATAACAGACCATCATCCACCAACATAACACCACCACAGACCATCATCCACCAACAAAACACCATCACAGATCATCATCCACCACCAACTACTAGTGTAACACCAACACAGACTCCATCATGGCACCATCAAACTCTATCATGGCACCATTACAGACATCACACACCTTCATGGCACCATCGTAACACCATCACAGACCATCACACATCTTCATGGCACCATCATAACACCATCAAAGACCATCATATCCCATCATACTACCTTAACAGGCATCATAATACCATCACAGACCATCATCCACCATCATAACACAAGAACAGACCATCATCCACCATCATAACACCATCACAGACCATCATCCACCAACATAACACCATCACAGACCATCATCCACCACTAGCTACTAGTATAACACCATTACAGACCATCAAAACACCACTGGACACCACCACACCCCATCATACTACAATAGCAGGCATCATACGCCATCATAACACCATCACAGACCATCTTAACTCCATAAGAGCCTCATACACTAGACTAACACCGTCCAAGACCACCATACCACCATAACAGCATCATACACCATCCTAACACCCTCAAACATCCGCCCGTCGTTTTACCTGTTTAAATAATAAAAGTCATTCTGTTCGCTGGTCGTCATTTTGCGCTGAATTGGTTTTCATGGTAAATCTGAATAACAGAATAAGCACGAGCGCGCATTAAGCGTCACGTGCTGCGGATGTGAGGTGATGGTGCAGTGCGGCTGACAGAGGAGCCTCACTCCTCCACTCCTGCTTAATTCTGACACCGCACGAGCTGGAAACAACGGTACACGACAATGAGATTAAACGGCTCGAGCGCCAATCCAGGAGCGTTATGGTGGAAATAAACCAGAGACGGTTTTATTTTAGGCAGCACTGGAAAAAACCGTCTTTCTACTAAAACATGAGCACTGATATTTCATTTGTATGAAACTGCGCTGATGAATGCGTCAATCTTAATTTAACTTAATTTAGTTATTGAGGTTTTGGCATTTTAGGCAAAGAGACAGCACAAAATTATTAAACGAAAAAAAAATCACTTTAGAATAAAACTAACGAAAAAACGACCAAACGGGCCGTTAAACGTTTTTATTTCATTTCATTTGATTTTATTTATTAATCCTCGTGACACTGAAACGGATACTTTAACAGACACACACAAAAATGTGCGTTTAAAGTAAACATGAAGCAGGTCGACCAATTATTCACATTTGGGCACAAACAAAAAAACGAAACCGTGAGAAATAATTTTAACGAAAAGTGTTTTCTTCTTCTTCTTCTTCTTCTTCTTCTTCTTCTTCTTCTTTTTGTTTGCCTGATTTGACACAGAACAGATGCCCCGCGTGCAGCTCCTCTCCTCTCTAATCTAATCGAGCGCGCGCAGGAGGGCAGAGCAGACTGAGCGCGAGCTGCTCTGAGTGGCTGAGGCTGATGAAGTTTTTAGACGCGTGAAAATAGAAGAAGAAGAACAGACGAGCTTTCTCAAACAAGACGGTTCTTCAAGGGTTCTTTAGTAAAGACAGTAGTTCTGTCTAGAACCATTTCATGCCTAAATGGTTCTCTGCATGGTGAAACCGTTCTTCAAAATGACGGAGAATGTGTTGGTTCTATATAGAACCTTCTCTAAAGGGTTCTATACAGCGCTGAGGCGGGTTCTGCTGTTTCCACAAGCTTAACTGTTGGCGCTATACGGAACCATTTTCAAAAGGTTCTACATAGAACCATACACAACATATTCTCCATCCATCTGAAGAACCATTTTATAATGCAAAAAACCATTTAAGCACGCAGATGGGTCCAGATAGAACTCACGGTTCTAAGTAGAACCATTCCTTTTAATAAAGAACCCGCGCTTTTTTTGCTAGATTGAACTGAACTGCAACACTGGCTGCTGTCATTTTCACCGCATTAATGACCGTTGAAGCAGTAATAATAATAATAATATAATAATAATAATAATAATGATAATAATAATGATAATAATAATCAGGGGTCTAACAGAAAGGGGCCACCGAAGGGGCATCGAGCGCGTGCAGGATTCACTCAGTCCTAAAATTATTAGCAGTTATTAGATTTTGTTTTTCCTCGCGGTGTCGCACGTGAAGGTACTGCAGTGAGGAGCGCGCGGAGGGCGAACTGCTTTACTGAATAGACGATTTAAACAGTAAATAAATAAACAAATAAACAATAAGACGTTAGTCGGGCGTGTAATAGATGAGGTCTGGGGGAAAATAAAATAAAATAAAATACAATAAAATTAAATAAAATGAGAGCGTCACTGTAAAAAAGGGGTCGCGAGGGGATAAAATAAATAAAATTAAAATTAAATTAAATTAAAATATTTTCACTACAGATGAGCTCCGGGGGAAAAATAATAAATAAAAACAAAATAAATAGGCTTTTATTGATTGATGAATAATAACAACAACAATAATCATAATAATAATAACATTAATGATAATAATAATAATAATAATAATAATAATAATAATAATTATTATTATTATTATTATTATTATTATTATTATTCAAAAAGGGATAATATGTTAAAACAACTTGGCTCAGCTCCTCGCGAGCGGGCAGATGTTTGCTGGTAAAGGGTTAAAGAGAGAGAGAGAGAGAGTGAGTGAGAATGGACCCCCCTCCTCTCTCCAAATGCCCCCACCTACACCGCCCCCCCACCCTTTCCCCACCTGCGCGCGAGCTCTTGGACATTGTCATGCAAAGAGACCGCCGCCTCGCCATTGTCTCGCGCGCGCTGCCCAGTTTATTAGAAGCGGGGCGCGAGCGCAGCACAGCCAGCCTAGCAGGAGGACTCAAGCGCTGACTGACGGGAGGAGCGCGCGCGGCGTGGAAACGAGCGGGACACTTCTTGTTTTTTTCTGTGGATGTGCCGGGCGCGAGCGGCAGGAGTAGGAGGAGGTGCACGAGGAGGTTCAGCGGCGGCGACACGGAGAAGAGAGGCGCGCGCGCACTCGCGGCGGGAAGAACAGACGGGAGTGGAGGTTTGGAGCAACAGCAGCAGCAGAAGGAGTGGATCCCCAGCGCGCGCGGATGGATTACCCGTACCTGAACACGTACGACTCGTGCATGGCCGCCATGGAGGCCTCGGCCTACGCGGACTTCAGCTCGTGCAGCCAGGCCAACACGTTCCAGTACAACCCGATACGGAGCAGCTTCGGCGCGGCACCGGGCTGCGCGAGCCTCGGCACGGCCAGCTGCGCGCTCGGGGCGCTGAGGGAGCACCAGCCGGCGCCCTACAGCGCAGGTAAGGAGCTCCGCAGAACTGCGCCGAACTGCGCCGAACTGCGCCAAACTCACCAGGCTGGAGTCAGCTTCTGTTTGAACTGTCCAGTCCACCTTAAACGGTGCAGCAGGTACATTCTAGCGCCTGAGGCTGCTGCATCATTTAAGGTGGAACGGGAAAATTCGAACAAGAGGCTGGCGAATAGGAATTCGAACTGCGGCTATATTATATAATACTATATTATATTATATTATATTACATTATATTATATTATAATATATTATATTATATTATATTATATTATATTATATGGGGCTTTTACTTGTGGACGAGTTTCAATCGCGAGTGAAACAGATTGACGCATTTTTTGCGCGCAAAGCAAACTGAAAAATAGCGACTGTGTTGATGCGATGTGTTGATTCACGTGCTGCCAATTGACACGTTTGACCCCTGAACCACTGTCCATCATTTTTAGCGCTTCTCCACCTGTTTGAACGCGAACAGCCGCTGCGGCTGTAATATAATATAATATAATATAATATAATATAATAGCGCCCTTGCCTGGTTCGTGGTTGGTTTAAAAAAATGAATTAAAATGAAAAATGATGAAGTTACCATCTTATGTTCCCACTTTCGCCAAATTTACATTTTTGTAATTCGCAAATTCGCAAAAAAACAAAACAAACAAAAAAATTAAAAAGCGCTATTAAACGTGTCAGTTAACTAATAAATCAAATACATCAACGCAGTTATTATTCCCAAAATAAGTCAACTGAGCGACAGACACAGTGTTGATGTATGGCATTTTATTCTACTCAATCGCATAAATTCAAAGCGCTGTAATGAGAAATTTATAAAAGACGCGTCGTGAATGTGGAGCGAAATAACACTGTTATAATAATTTATTACAATATAATACTTTATATTCAGATGTACTAGACTAGAATTAGAGCGATTAGACTGGAAGCAAAAACTTAACTGGCAGCTTTTCAGTGAAATCTAATAATGATCAATATAGCAACAAATCAATTTTCCAAGATCTAATTTTTAACAGTGATAAAATGAAGATGATAATGTGAGATTTTCCCCTAATTTCTTATTTTTTTGTGTGAAAACCTGACATCCATGACAAGGAGGCTCAGCTGTGTGCAGGTCAGAATTAGTCTTAGAAATTAGAAAATTAGACGCAAAATTTGACCTTAAAATAAGATTCGTTTTAACCAAATTCGATATTCTTCTTCTCATTATTATTATTATTATTATTATTATTATTATTATTATTATTGTTGTTGTTGTTGTTGTTGTTATTATATAATATTATTATTATTTTGTCCAGGGATCAAGTTTCATTCTTCAAATTAAACGCTTTTTTCACGCAAAAGTAAAAATTCATAAATTCATTAAGAGGAAAAGAACTGCGTCACCGTGAATTGTGAATTAGTTTGAAAAGCCCCCCTAAACTCTCTCCCCCTCTCCCCGCTCCCCCCTCAGTGCCCTACAAGTTCTTCTCGGACCCCTCCGGGCTGAATGAGAAGAGGAAGCAGAGGAGGATCCGCACCACCTTCACGAGCTCGCAGCTGAAGGAGCTCGAGCGCGTGTTCGCCGAGACACACTACCCGGACATCTACACACGCGAGGAGCTCGCGCTCAAGATCGACCTGACGGAGGCGCGAGTGCAGGTGCTTTTTTAAAAACAACGAAATTGACAATAACAGTAATAATCGAAATACTAATTAAACTGAGATGTTCATGTATATTTATTTACCTACTTGATTATTTAAATGTGTTTATAAATATATATACATAGTAATGAATTAATACAGCATAAATTAATTAGCATAAATGAATTCTATAGACACAGAAATTACATTTTAATGTGGTTAATGTTTATGAAAAAACTTTAAAATAAACGTTATGACGTTTTATATTTTGTTTTATTATTTCCAACACGTTAAGCCCAGCAAATACATAGAAATAGAGCACTTTTCATATGCTATAATTACATAACTATTTCTATATTACAATACAATTTTCGAGTTTAAAAAAGGAGAGCAAACGGAAAATAACACACCAGACACCAATTAAAATTTTGAAGCATCATAAACGAATTTTTTTCTTTGCCTTAGTAACTGTATAATATCTCTTCAGTGAAAAGTAAAGTTTAAAATGAGAAGAAAAAAATCCGTAATTGTGAACCGAGTTTTATACATTAGGTTTAAATTTCAGCTCTAAAAAATTTTTGGCAGTTGCAAACTTTAAAATTAAATTTGTAGCTTTAAATGCAAGAAATTAAGAAATTAAGCATTGTAACTTAAGACAAATACATAAGATGTTTATGTAAGTGGCCACTGCATCAAGTATTGGTCAAAAGTCTGCAATTTAGTCTGGACAGTCTGGAGCCTTTAGAGGATCAGGAGCCGATAACTCAGGGAAAAAAATGCTTTTTTAGATAATATATAATACAATTCAGGCAATCTAAGGACGTATAACTTGAGTTGTATCAGGTGCCAAATACATTATAAACCACATGCAGATGGTATCTAGTTTCATTTACTTACCCATGTACTTAAGTACAACTGTGATGGATTTGAATTGATGCATTTTTGCATGTTTACCAAAAATATTTTTACTTCTACTTAAGTACATTTTTTAAGAATCTATCTTTTCCACCTTACATCGTAGTCTTTAAGCTCCTAATCCCTCCTAATCTAACAAAAATCAGCTCTTATGCTCCACTCAAATCATTATTTCATTGATTTCTCAAAGATGGTTTAAAGCTACTCCACCCACCTGAGGATCAATCAAACGAGCTCAAGTAACAGGTGTTGTCACCCCCGCAGGTGTGGTTCCAGAACAGGCGTGCCAAATTCCGCAAACAGGAGCGCGCCGCCAACTCCAAAAGTGGAAATGCGGGCAACAGTGGGAATGCCAAGAAGTCAGGCGAGGCGCGCTCTTCGTCCGAAGACGACGAGTCCAAAGAGTCCACATGCAGCCCAACACCGGACAGCACGGCTTCCCTGCCCAGCTCGGGCAACATGGGCAGCCCAGGGGCCGGAAGCCTCAGCCCCAGCCCGGTGTCGGTGTCCTCAGCCGGCTTTGCCAGCACTTCCACCTCCCCGTCCGTCCACCAGGGGCTGAAGTCTCCTACTTGGCCTGGGACAGGTGGCCTGACCCCGAGCGGCCCCCAGGGGCCAGAGCTGCTGAAGACGTGGCAGCCCGCGGACAGTATGGCCGCCGGCCCCTTCGCCGGAGTGCTCTCGTCCTTCCACAGAAAGCCGGGCGCGCTCAAGACCAACCTGTTTTAGACGTTGGGTTTTCTTCTCTCTAAGCGTGTGGTCCCTTATACTGTTGCTGCCTTGCTCTCTTTTTGTTTTACCTTAGAGCTGGACTCCCTTCTAATTTATTGTCATGTTGGACTTGTTGGCGCTTCCACTGTCTGTGTGTGTGTGTGTGTGTGTGTGTGTGTGTGTCTTGATTGTAAACATTATCAGCAGTTATTATCCACTTCTGCTGACCACTCTGCCACTTCCTCTATTAGTTGCATCCTTTGTCCTGTTTTCGTCTCTACCATTACCAGTAGAAAGTAATCAGCCAATGAGATGTTTTTTTTCTTCCAATCTCCCAGTTTTGACTATAGACCTGTATTGTTGAATGAACACCTAGTGTTGAACTGATAACTACAGCGTCAGATTCAGTGCACAGTGAACACCAACAACGTTGAACTTACACAGACGATGTTGAGTGAACCTCGACAGTGTTAAAACAACAGTGTTGAATCTACAGCAGAGGTGTTTACATTCACTTCATGTGAGTCAGAGTTGAGGCAAGAGTCCGAGTCGAATCTTGAGTCTTTAGAGAATTTTAGTTTAGTGTCAATATTAGCTGCTGGCATTGCATTGGACAAAGGTAGACCAGCTAAAAACCAGTCAGGTTTGATTTTGCTTAAAATATCAAGCCATTCATGACAGAAAACCCTGAGTAAGAGGGACAGAACTGAAGCGCAACCCGAGCAACAGTGTCTTAAAACATCAACTAGATTAGCTGACAACTTCAGTTAAATGAGCAGTTGTGCTAGTTGGCATACTTGCTAACTGAACTACATGCAAAACAGCCATTTCAAGTTGTTTTGCCTCGTTACTTTAACCACAATTACTGCATGTAGCGCTTTATTTCACCAATCAGACTGAAAGATTTCCTATGATGAAAGGTTTGTTATTTGAAGCTGTACTGAACCTGACACCTGCCGCAAGTTGACTGCACAATGACTGAGCATGGCCATGTTTCTTTCTCAGGCTGAAGTTTCCTGAGTCTCGAGTCTGACTCAAGTTGCGAGTCAGTTAAGGCGAGTCAGAGTTGTGAATCACTTAAGAACTGGGAGTCAAGTTGTGAGTCAGTTAAAGAGGAGTTGCAGTTGCAGGTCAGTTAAGGCTGAGTTGGACTCAAGTTTCGAGTCAGCTGAGATTACGGCAGCGTCTAGTCTTGAGTCAAGTAAGAGCAAACCTGAGTTGAGTCGCTGGTCAGTTCACACCTCAGACTACAGTTGTGAACACCTACCATGTCCTACAGTGAAGTTTAACTGGACTCCAATAGCCTAAACACTGTAGGGGTCAGGAATTCTGCTATGCCGTCCACAAATACAAACCAAAATCCATTAAAGTTTCAAGCCTGACCTCAGTTTCGAGATTTCACTGGCCAAGAAACTTGAGACTCCAATCAACTGAGCATGTACAAAACCACCATGACGACTAGTGACCAGGTTAAGAACTACTAAAACTGGAAAAAACTGAATAAACCAGGTCACACGTATCTGTTCAACTGGACGGGAATCCTACAGTTGGGTCTGGCTGAAGGGAACGCCGGCATTCATTCCCATTTCTGCCTTTTCCTCCTCTTTTCAGACCTCACTATTCATCCCTAGCTTCAGGCCAAACAGTGCAGAATCCCAAAGGACAGTTTAGAGAAGGGATTGGGTGACTGTTACCAGCAAGCACAACTTCCTTTCTAGGATCACAAAGCCTTTTTGAAAAAGAAGAAAGAAAGAAAGAAAGAAGTGCAATCCAATTAGCAAGAGCAAGCAGGGAAGTGCGTGTTGGCATTAAGGGAGTAGCTAAAGCAAACATGCTAGCGTGGCTAGCCGTGAATAGACACCATCAGCATGCTGTCCTTTTGCATAATGCTAATAGGCGGCTATTTGCCTTCATTCAATGTTAGCAACATTAGCATTTTTAAACCGAACTGTTGTTGTAAGTCCTTCACTGACAAAACAAGAGAAAGTGTCCTCTTCACCTCCCCTCCCCACCCCTCACCTCCCCTCTCCTATATCCCCTCACCTCCCCTCTCCTATATCCCCTCAAATAAAGCGCTCCGATCCAAAAATATACGCTTTACCTGTCGGGAGCGTTTTGGCCCCATACGGCATTCTGTTACGGTCGTACAGGCCTAGTGGTCGTCAGGCCTAGTGGTCTTCAGGCCTAGTGGTCGTCAGGCCTAGTGGTCTTCAGGCCTAGTGGTCTTCAGGCTTCTACTTCTTTATGCTTTTTTCTTTTCGTAGGATTAGAGGGCCGATATCGATCGTCATACACTGTAATGGTTCGGCCCATTTTCACATGTTCAGTCACTCATTTAAAAGCTTCTTTGTGTAGCATCTCCATTAATGTGTGAGTGTGTATCTGAACGTAAGCCTAGTTAAGCCATTAGCATTAATTTATTGAGGAAAAAAAAAACAAAGGGAGAATGTTTTTCGTCTTTTTCTTTCAGTCAGGCTCCTGACTCATTGTAACATGAGACTATTTTGTAAATAGTAATATAAATACTGCGTAGTTTCCGACTTTTATTATGGTAACTTGCCGCTAAGGTGTACTTAATTCGAATGGCCGTTAAGTCAGAGCGTACGACATTAGGGTGTGTTTTCTTTTTCAGTCGTAGGCCTTACGTTCATTAATGGCACTGTGTAATACTGTACAAAATAAACCACATTTAAAGCACCGTCTGGTTCACTTCCAGTATATTATTTTTCTGTGATAAAACCTTATATATATACAAACACACACACACACACACACGCACACACGCACGCACGCACGCACGGACGGACGGAGGTGAGTATATATAATATTCTTCAAATAGCTTTATACGACGGGTTTTCCATCATACAGAAGAACCATTTAGTCAAGCAAATAATTACATTTGAATGCATAAATGGTTCTTTGAGTGAACACAGCTCTATATACAGTCACTGCCTTTACTAAAGAAGCCTTGAAGAACCATTTTAAGGGTGTGGGACATCAATTTCACTGGTATTTTGACCCATTTTACAATAACACCACAATTTATAGCCACGATTGTGTATGTGAAAACATGTTGTGACACCAAGGATATATATTTTTTTGTGCTGTGCCAAATATGTGAACATATAACCAAAAATCCCCTACCGGGAGTCGTAGTTTCAGAAACACCATTAATGTACTATTATACATACATACATCATCCAAACCGCTTATCCTTCTGGGTCACGGTGGGGTGCTGGAGCCTATCCCAGCTGTCTTTGGGCGGAAGGCAGGATACACCCTGGACAGGTCGCCAATCCATCACAGGGCAGACAGACAGACATACACAGTCACACACACACACACACACCTAGGGGCAATTCAGCATGTCCAATCAGCCTGACTGCATGTTTTTGGACTGTGGGAGGAAACCGGGGTACGCGAAGGAAACCCACGCAGACACGGGGAGAACAGGCAAACTCCACACAGAAAGGACCCTGGTCACCCAGCCGGGAATCGAACCCAGGCCATTCTCGCTGTGAGGCAACAGGGCTACCCACTGCGCCACTGGAATTATATATTTTCCACTTGGATAATTTCTACGGACCACTCAACACAATTACGGTTCATTCAATGTAAAGAGCAGCTGGTGATAAAAAAAAACAAAAACACACACAAAAAAATAAAAACAGAAATCGAGATACAAGGTTTTATAGAGCTAAATGCACCATTATAAATACACTCACTGGCCACTTTATTAGAAACACCACCCTTGTGCTTCCACTCACTGGCCACTTTATTAGAAACACCTACCTTGTACAGTCATTCAGTGGCCACTTTATTAGAAACACCTACCTTGTGCTTCCACTAACTGGCCACTTGGCACTGAAAAAAGACCATTAGAACCATCAAAACCTGATGACTTGTTCTAATGGAAACTGGCTTAATGGTTGCCATTAAAGAGACCACTAGTTTCCTTTAGGGCACCTTTAGTTCCCATTAGAAAACTATCAAATGAGTCTGGAAACACACCAGAACACCTAATAAACCATCAGAGGCATTTACACTGTGATATTAACCCATCAGGAAAACACAAAATACCATTACTGACTACTGGACACCACCAGAAACCAACACAGACTATTAATGGTTTCTATGATTCCTCTCACTGGCCACTTAACTAGAAACAGCTACCTCATATGTCCTATATTTAGGTGTACAATTACAGACTGTTGCCCATCTGTTGATGCATAACTCACCAGACCTGACATGGTTGTTTTTTTCCCTCCTAGTGTCACTGCTAGGTGGTCCGTCATCCAAAAATATCCAGCCAACAGGGTCCAGTGGCCATAAACTGACCAGTTATGAGGTCTTAGATCCAGTTTCATAATTTTGGTTGAGACTGAAACTTCAGTGTTAACACTGTGGTGTAGTAACGTTACACTATGAATGAAAGTCGCCAGCTCGTAATGTCGGCCACAGTGACACTGAATACGGAGCTCTAAGTGCTAAGAGGATCATTTAATTTCCTAATTTTAAAATTAAAAAAGTTGTTTTGAGTGACAGACAATATTTTGTTCAATAAACCGTTAGATAAAATCCATATTTATAGTCTACCGCTGAATTTAAATATGGGTTTTAACATACAGTGGTATGCATAAGTTTTAACACCCCCAGTCAAAAGTAATGTTTTGTTGATTTTCATAAGTGAAAATAAAATGCACAGGGAACAAACTTAAATATTGCATTTTTCTGCACATTTTAGTCATAATTTCTGTTTATTATCTTTTGCACAAGCCATATTTTGTTTTTTTTATATGTATATTATTTATAATTCAGCAACTGTACATTAAAATGTGCAGAAAAAAAACAAACCAAAGATGTAATTCGACCAAAGGCACCCAAACTTTTTGCAAACAACATTTAAAGTCATGGGCAAAATCTGCACCTTAATTCCACACAAGTGCACTGCTAGTCAATCAAGCTGTACATTGACTAGAACATGTGATATTAAAATGACACTGGAACTGACGAACCAACTCGGGCTGCTCTAGTTTTCCCCAAATTTTGCAAACTGATGACTTTCTGAGCTGCTCTTGACCCTCAGGAACGCCACACAGCCCTCTCCTTCTTGATCAATCAGGGCACAAAGACAGGCAGGGGTCACATCAGCTGTTAGTTTTTATTCACCTGAAAAGAACACAACAATAACAACAACAGCAACAACAAAAAAGACACTGAAAGTCGTTTAGAGGTCATTCACAAATATTAACTTAAAATGAAATATTAACAAAATGAGGTTACCGGTAAAAACTGTCCGATTATCACTCATGGAAACGTTTGAACCAAGACAAAAAAAAACGGTTAAAAAGGTTAAAACATGACACATAAAACAAAACAGGACAATTTACAGACTCAGCAAGAGTGATAAGAATAGTTCAATAATGATGAGACATACAGTTAAATAAGAAACGTGGTCTTCTCTAGCGTCATTGTTTGGCAGTACAAAGTGGAATAACGAATGAGATTTCAGAATAAAAGTTACTTGGTTGTGTTTCTGTAGTCGTGTAGGAGTGCGTGAACTGTAAGTCAAGCTCAACGTCTCAATAACAGCCATTTTTACACAGTTCCCAAACGTAGAGGTTACAGAAAATCTCCGAAGTCTAAACGCTACTTGTTTTTTCTCTAAAACAAAACTCAGTAATGCACGAGACGCGTTTCAGACAGCCTCACCGCCACCAGGTACAGTTTATAAAGGTTGTGCATTGTGTTTGTGGTGGTGTCGGCTGAAGGAGGAGCGAGATTTCAACTGAATTTCCACAGTAGTGCCTGGATTAGTAAATTATCTTAAAAGGTCCTGCAGTGTCCTCTGGTGGTCACTTCCGGTAACTCCAAAAATGGGGCCTGCAGCAGCGTCAGTCTCAACGTAGCTGTAAAGTGAAAGACTTCGTGGCTGTAGCAAAACCAATTCTCTCCACAAAGGACAACGAAACGACCTTTTCTTAGTAATTTTGGACCGTTTCATCACACACACAATCTTGACTCAAAGTAAATGGTGTAATAAATGAACAAATAAATGAGTTACAGGGTTTTGATGTGGCAGCAACTGTGGAGTAATGAAGCTACATCAGGTTTTGAGATGGATGTGGCAGAAAAAAGGCCCAAATGTTCAGCAATTGGAAAAAAAGCATTAACATACCAAACATGAGCATTTGTGCCTGGTGTAATTTGGGGAGAACGTTCTGGAAGCCTCCCAACCGTCCCATATACAGTACTGTGCAGAACCAAGAGAGTACCCCTCATTTATTTCATTCCTTGTCAAAGCACCCATCAAGTTCTTCATTTTTCAGGAGATATTTCTGAGGAGATAGTCAGACTCCTAACAACCACCTGGAAGAGCTCGTCGACCCCAAAACTGCCCCCATCAGATAAACAGCACTTAAAGCTTTCATCTCTGAGAGAGAGGAGAAAATCAAGCTGATCAGATCTGAAAACATCCACAGGTGTTTCTGTCCATCCTTCCACTGTGAGAAGACGACTCAGCGCTGTGGGTCTGAAAGGATGTGTAGCTGATCAAGAAGAGCCTCACTGAGAAAACCGACACAAAAGAAGACGCAAAGAAACTGCTAGTGTTCTCAGAACGATGGACTGACCACCCCAGTGGCCAGACCGCCCCATCACTGAATGTGTTTGTGGTTACTTGGAAGCAGAAAATGCAAAACCAACTTCTAAGACTGAACTTTGAAAAGAATAGTTTCTATGAAAAACAAAGCAAGTCTGAGAAAAAGAATGGAAACTGTAATTAAGGCAAAATCGGACACACTAAATACAAACTTGTTGAGGCTTCTGTGCAATTTTCCATTTACCTGCTTTTTTCCTGGTGCTGAAAAATAACTGATGTGTACTTGATGGCTGATCTGACTGGGAATGAACATAAATAAATGAAGTGTAGTCTCTGACTCAGTACTGTACGGAAAGACGATGAAAAATCATGAATAAAACGACGCGAGTGTCCCTGGTGTCCACACACACACTCACTGTCTGTCATACAAGCTCACACACACATAATGACTTTCTGAAAGTTCATAAACTAGTTCTAACCAGTCTGCACTGATTTTGGCTTATTCCATTCTTATTCTTACTTCCCTTTTAAAAAAGACTAAAACATGCATGTTATCAATAATTAACATAACGCTAATAACAAACTAACTGAGCCAACTGCCTGCCGGAGAAAAAGGCAAGGAATGTGAATGAAGCCCGTGTACGTGAAGTTCTCAGGCACGCGCTGACGGTCTCTCTTCCTCGCAGGCGTTTTCTCAGGACGTGAGGAGAGGCCTGTAGCGACGGAGTGCTTCTTGTTTTCTTTTTTTAACCTGTTTTAAAACGTCAGCGACTCCGCCGACCCGCTGAAGGACAAGGATAACTTACAACTCCAATTAGCAGTGCAAGATTTTCTGAGAAGGCACAGTTTGGACTGGGGTGGTCCAGTTTGGACCAGATGGGCTTGGCTCAGCTCACTTCTGCTGCTGTTGTCTTAGGCTGGCCAATAAGATCTTCTTGTGGGCGGGGTCTAGCACTCCCGCCTCCTCCAGGTCCTCCTCTGTGATATCACTGCAAAGAAATGTTTTTCATAAATCATAAACAGTAATGACAGTATGGAGAACAGGACAAGAGAGAAGATAAAACATCAGTGTGAGAACATCAGGGTCCCCTAAAGAGGCATTTCGGCCAGAAGCCAGAGTTATCTGTCATGTCACTGCAGTATTGTGCAGCACAGCATTGCATCCTTCAGCTTCGTCAGTTCACAGAATTCATGATTGGCTGCTATCGTGCTGCTAGGCCGTTGCTATGCTATTCCAAGTGGTTGTATTATACTTACGTTTCAATGTTTTCTCACTTGGTCATCAATGTTTTCTCACTACGATACCCAGTCTGCTTTTGCTTTGCTTTATGGTGAAGACCTCGAGGCTGACCGTACACACAGCCGCTGTCTTCAGCACTTCAACAACTGACATAACTAGATCATCATAAACTTGCCTCACACAATGTCAACCCTCAAACTTGCTTATGTGGTTTCTGACAATGAGCTACAGGCAGAGTAACCACTTAACAACTCAACACAGTTTGAGGCAAGTGTGTGAAGTATGATGCTAACTGGAGAATTCACTTCTACTACTTGTCAGCTACATTAACCTCTAAGCTCCAGGTCAAATCCAAAGAAGAAAACAACAGACACTAAACAGGTCTTGGCTGATCGAAAACATTTTGCCTAAAGGGAAAACTGTGTACACATGATATTTCTATTTAAGCCCATTTCACTGCAAAATGGTGACTTTTCAATCCTAAGCCTAGATTTCCCATTTTGATTTTCAGGGGTGGTTCATCAGTGGCATTGAAATTTAGTTCAAGACTAGGATTAAAGAGGCATTCCGGTGTAAAACTAGTATTTTTAGTTATGTTGTGTAATTTTCTGTAGCACAGCACCAACTTTCAGCCTTCCTTTGACAGAACTCACTGTTTTGTATTGGTTTTGCGTTTTCCTCCATCACTGCTCCCTCACTACAATACCCAGCATGCACTGAACAAATACATCACACAGTAATTTGGAATTCCCTCACTGCGATAAAGAAATGCAAATAGAGGATAAGAAGTACAGACGTGTGATATTCGGCTGCCTAGCAGTAATGTTAGCTATCTGGCTTTCTTCTGCATTAGCCAGCTAGTGAGTGCCTGTTTTCCTCCCACCTTTAGATACTTCATCAGGAGGGGGTGTTCCTAGTTTTTAAAACAGAAAATCTCACTCTAGAGACTAATGTGGCACCGCTGTGGGAGGTGCCACAGACACAGCAGTGGTTATGTTTCTCATTTTGGCCAGAGTGCCCCTTTTAATCCATGCCTGGGAAACTAGCACCTGGATTTCTTCTTTAAAGTGGTGGTTCAGGATCTCAGTGAAATGGCAGAGGACCTGATTTAAAAGCTAAATCTAACCATGGCATGTCACATAGGGATGAAGGACTGGTGGATGTAGTAACGTGCAAGTGAAAGGTGCCTTACCTGAGGAACTCGAGGTCGTCCCAGCCGTTCCGTAGCAGCCCCTCCTCATAACGCTCAAGCCCCAGCCTCTGCAGCCACTCACCAACACTGGACTCCACAGAGAGGCTGCTGCTACTGCTGCCACCCTGCCACATGCCCTACAGAAAAACAGTGAGGCAGAGTGAACCAACCCGTCTTCAGAGTTTTTATACGTAGTGTTGATGATGGTGAAATAAACTGCATGTTGAAATTTTAGGTAGTGTTCCCTTCAGAGACTTTGATGTTAATTTTTATTGTCTATGCATTGTTTATAGTAAAAAGAGCTCTGCAGTAACGCTCTATAGTATTCATATGATACATGTGGCTATTCTCACAGATCTGCAATACATTACAAGAGCTGTAGGGGGCAACATGGGTTCACTGCACAATAAAAGATGTTGGAACTTTAAATTACAGTGTAACTGTTGAATTATAAAAGTTAAATTAGTTAATCAAATAATTCTTGATACGTTCATCAATCACAGAAATAACTTTTTCCCTTCTTCCTCACCTCCTCTGGCAGGTCCTCTGCGATGCTTTCCTCCTGGATGGACCGAGGAGGGAAAGTGCGGCTCGCTTCCCCCAGGCCCATTCCTCGTAGGTGGGAGGTGGCGCCTCCTTTCAGCATCGCTCCTCCAGGCCCCCGCTCCTGCCCAGCTGGATACTCCACCTCACTCAGCTTCTTGGCCAAATGCAGCACAGAGCACGACTGATCGTCCACTCCTGAAGCACTGCCCCCTCGTCTGAAAGGGGAGGGGCCTGGGTTCAATATGGATGGCTGAGGGTCCAGGCAGAAGGCTCCACCTCCTCCTGGGGGCGGGGCAAAGCTGGGGGAAGAGAGAGGTTTGGAGGTGACGGCCGCTGGCGGTGGGATCTTGATGTCTGCCAAGTCTGGGTGCAGTCGAGGTTTGCTCTCTTTTGTAGGTGGGAAAAAGGAGGCATCGGACAACTCAAGGGCGCCTTTGGGGAGCGGAGGGGGTGGGAAGTCGGGGGGCGGGCGGTTCAATGAGCCGGCAGCATGTACCCCTGGGTTTACATCATCCTCGGATGACATTTCCTCACTGATTGGTCGCACGGGCCGTCCGCCTGTCTGTCTGCGCGTCTGGATGGAGCTTCCACTCGGGGGCTTGCCCTTCGTTGCTGCGCTAGCAGGTGGTCCCGATTTCCCTGCCGTAGGAGGGTGAGCGGAGCCTGGGAGCAGGTCTGTGGCCAGGGCGGCTGACTGGTTCGGAACGCCCTCCAGGATGTAGTAGGCAGGGTTGTTGAAACTGTTTTTGCAAGTGGAGGCGTCTCCATCGCTGGAGTCCTGCTTCAACCTACCAACCAGTCACACAAACAAATGAAAAACTGCCATAAATAACAGAACAACTGTGAAAATAAATTACAAATAAACAGCATCAAGAGTCTGTATATGAAAAACAGCACATTATAGCAAAGGGTTCCTTATTTCTTAAGATACTGATTATACACTATATGGCAAAAAGTGTGTACACAGTGGACCATCATAACTATATGAGCTTCTTGCATGTCCCTTTCCAAAACCACGAGCATTAATATGGAGTTTTGGTGGAATGGCTTTGAGGTTTCAAGACAGTGGGTTCCCTACAAAGAGAACGCTGTGCGCACAAGGCAAGTTCCCAATGCACTTCTTTAATAAGTGTTCAAGTAAACAAAAATAGGCAACAATATGAATATATTTGGGGCGGCATGGTGGCGCAGTGGGTATCGCTGTGGCCTCACAGCAAGAAAGGCCTGAGCTCGGTTCCCCAGCCGGGTGACCAGGGTCCTTTCTGTGTGGAGGCATGTTCTCCCCGTGTCTGCGTGGGTTTCCTCCCACAGTGCAATAACAAAGACATGCTGTCAGGCCAACTGGACACGCTAAATTGCCCCTAGATGTGACTGAATATGTGTGAATGTACATCTGTGTGTCTGCCCTGCAAAAGACTGGCAGACTGTCCAGGATGCATCCTGCCTTCCACCCAACGACTGCTGGGATAAGCTTGTAGCCCCTCTCTCATCAGGTCAGGGTCAAACCATTTGAAAATAATTAAATATAATCTGTGCAATGATGATCACAAATAATTCAGACATGTACTCAAGTAAGTATAATTAGACAGAATTAGTCTTAACTCCTGTTTTTTCTCCTCGCAGGTTTTAAACTAGCCCCCCACCGAGGACGGCTGTGGATCCTTCAAGCCCCCTGAAGAAGGTGCATTGTCCCATGCTCACATGACTACAGGAATCAGGTAAGGAACGCTGCTCTTTCACTTAATATTAACAAATACATTAATATTATACTTCCTCAAAGTTGTGCTACAGAGTTGGAAGCATATTGGAAGTTGGAAGTCTGAAATGTCTGTGTATATTGTAACGTTAACATCACCTTTCACTGGAACTAAGGGGTCGAGCCAAAACCCTGAAAAACAGCCCCAGCCCATTATCATTCCTCTACCAAACCTTACTGTTGGCATTATGCATTCTGGTAGGTAGTGTTATCTTGGCATCCACCAAACCCAGACTCGTTCATCAGACTGCCAGAAACATGATTAATCACTCCAGCGAACATGTGTCAAAGCTCCTAGACGCTTCTATTTCACGATAATAGCACTTACAGTTGAGCAGGGCAGAAATTTCACAAACTGACTAGTGGTACAGGCGGCATCCTATGACAGTCCTACGTTTATAAAGTCACTAAGCTCATCAGTATGACTCATTCTACTGCCAGTGCATGTCTATGAGATTGCATGGCTATGTGCTTGATTTTATACACCTGTTAGCTATGGATCAGCAAGTCAATAATTAGGAGAGGTATCCACATACTTTAGGCCACATAGTGTATGTGTGGGCGTGTGTGCAAATTTCTCGTCTTTAGATCACACCAAAGAGGACATCATGTACCTCGTCTGTGTATTATCTTCTTTGGTGGAGCCGTGTGTGAACGCAGATCGTCCTGAAGCGTTTCTCTCTCCCTCCTCTGAAACTTTACTCAGCTCCTTTCTGTTCAGAGAGGGCCTGTGGGAACACCGCATCATCATCATCAGTACTAATTTTTTTATACAACAACAGTTACTTCTAAGCATGCAATCTGTTTAGTTCTAGCAGTGTAGTTACATCTGATAACAGGACTTTTTTTTGCGCTGTACCTTTATCTCTACAACAACCACAAGTTCCTGTGCAACAAAAACAGTTACTTCACTCTAATGTCTACTGGACACTACACGACTCACAATCGCTATAATGCTCACACTACCTGACATTACACAAGACATTACAGCCTTGATGTTATTCAAAATGATCTCTATACTGCTGAACTCACAATAATACACTTAATTCAGTCATTATTATCTCTTAACAGGAAGATCATATCAACAGCAAATTAACCACCAGTGTCAAATATTATGTTATGTATCTCATCTGGCCATCAAGAGCTGCTGCTGACGAAGTGCAAACCGCACTCAGAATCTTTCCAGCAGTGCGTGTGAATGTGCATCTCACTTGACGTAATCATGTCCGGCTCTAGGGGGCATAGTTTTCCCTTTGGGACCTCCAGTCTCGTCCTTATCCACACTGATCCACTCTGGAAGCACACAGGCGGATGAAGTTAATACATACAGTAGTGTTCAAAAGGTTTAGGCATCTGAGAAAATGATAAACAAAGCTTTATTTGTTTGACACAAAGAAATGACATAAATGACACTTTGTGATTTGATGTGTGTGAAGACTTAATTTCAGTTATTAACCATTTCAAATCCAGCATTTATGATTACCATCCAACACCTAATTCACCTAATCAGTCCTCCATTAAATCAAACCAGGAGCTGCTGATGGAATCTAACAGATCTTTGTTCTTCTTTCCATATTCGTAACTTTTTAGGAAACTCTTTTGTTACATTTTACATTATTTATCTGTATTTAATCTACATAGTATTTTACATAAAAACTTGTTCCTCGCCTCACTCATGTATCGTTTAATGTGACTGTCTTAATTTTTCTTACCTCTTATCATTTAATGGTAGTCATTTTTGTTACCTCATTTATTGTTTAATGTTACACCTCAATTTTTACTACTTGCTTCATGCATCATTTAACATTACTGCCTCCTTTATTGTTTAAGGTTACTGCCTCATTTTTGCTACTTGTCTCATTAATCAATTAAATGTTACTGCCTCAGTTATTGTTTAATGTTACTGCCTCATTTTTGCTACTTGCCTCATTCACCAATTAACGTTACTGTCGCGTTCTTGTTATTTGCCACATTTATCGTTTAATGTTACTGCCTCAATTTTGTCACTTGCCTCATTTACTGTTTAACGTTACTGCCCGTTTTTGTTACTTACCTCATTTACTGTTTAACATTATTGCATCATTTGTGTAACTTGCCTCATTTATCGTTTAACGTTACTGCCTCATTTTTTGTTTCAAAGTTACTGCCTCATTTATCATTTAACATTGCTGCTTCATTTTTGTTACATGCCTCATTTATTGTTTAAAATAACTACATCATTTTTGTAACTTGCCTCGTTTAATGTTACCGCCTCACTTTTGTTGCTTGCCTTGTTTATTGTATAACATTACTGCCATATTTTTGTTACTCACCTTATTTATCGTTTAATGTTACGGCCTCACTTTTGTTTCTTGCCCCTTTCATCATTTTACCGCAGTGTTTTTTGTTACTGGTTTCATTTACTGTTTAACATTACTGCCTCAATGTTGTTACTTGCCTCATTTATTGTTTAATGTTACTGCCATTTTTTTACTAGCCTCATTTGCCGTTTAACAGTAGCAATTTTAGTGACTTGCTTTTTAACCTCACAGATCGCTCAAACAATTTATTACTATTTTAGGATTTTTTTGTTTAAAAAAGTCTTAGCTGTCTGAGATTTTCATAAAACTGTATATTTTGGGATCCCCTTTGTGGTTGTGCACTGCATCTATCTGTATTTATTTGCTCAATATTAGTGTTTTATATGGTGCATACATGGACAAATTCTTCATACATGGCCAATAAATTCATTAATGGGGGAAAAAATACTCAGCTGTTCTTCTTTCAAGTAACTCATACACAACACACACACACAAGTCTGTTAAACACACACACACACACAAGTCTGTTAAACACACACACACACACACACACCATAGAGCCTCTCTCTGGTTCCCATTCTCTCTGAGGGCACTCGGACTCTCATGGAGCCGCGGATGTTCCCCGTTTCTTCTCCCCGGTGAGACAGGTACGTGTGAAACTGCTGCGCTGTGCTCCCAATCATTGACTTCAAGGCCAGCACACATTCTCCTACACACAGACAAACAAAGGTCATTCACACAGAAGTTCTCTGATAGTGGTTTTAAACCAATTCGACAAAATCTGGTTTGATATAATTAGCTCTGTGTCTGACCAAACAGCAATGCTACACAGCAGCTATGTGGCTTCCCAGGCTGGCTGCATGACAGCCGTTTCTTGGTGGGCCAGTTGAGTAACGCTACACTGCAGCTATGTGGCTTCCTGGGCTGCTGCTTGAGAGATGGTTCACAGCACCTACGAGGCTTTCCGTGCCAGCCGCTTGGGCGACATGACACCACAGCAATATGGCTTCCTGGGAAGGCCGCTTGAGCAATGCTGCACTGCAGCTATAAGGCTTCTTGGGCCAGCCACTTGAGTGATGCTGCACTGCAGCTGAGTGGTTTCTTGGGCTGGTTGTTTGAGTGATGCTACACTGCAGCTATGTGGCTTCTTGGGTGGGCTGCTTGAGCGATGCTACATTACCTATGATACTTCCCAGGCCGGCTACTTGAGCGACATCACACCACAGTTACAATGCTTCCTGGATCAGCCTTCTTAATTTCTGAAAAGCAAGCTCTGAAGCCATTCTTATATCTTCTTCAGCTGCTTGTTATTTTACCTTCTCACTCATTCTGTATTATATTTTACGTTATAATTGGCCTGTAAAATTACATTTCACTGTTTGCTGTATGTAGCAAAGGTGGCTCGCTATTCCTTGTTTGGCACAACAGGTGAAGTAATATCTGTTTTGCCCAATAAAGCACAAAAAAGAGTGTGTAAAGAAACCATTGCAAAGGACTAATCTGTGCAAGTTCCCTGCCGGGGCAGGATGCACATGGCAAATGAGCAAGAAAACGAGATTCCAAAGAACAGGAAGGGTGTGCAATCATCTGAGTCACACCGAGGCCAAATCTACATTACCTCATCATCTTGGCCAGGCACGTCAAACTGGGGACCTTCCGGGCCGAAGTGCTGCAGAGATTAGCGTTCACCCTCATCTAACCCTCTGAATTCAGTTCAGGAAGGCCTTGCTGATTGGCTAACGAGCTGAATCAGGTGTGTTTAATGAGGCAGTGTGCCGAGGTCTGCAGTGTTTCGGCCCTCGAAGACTGGAGCTTGACATGATCTAGGCCATCAGGCGTACCACAAGTCAGAATGATATGCATGCCCACGCACACATACTTACCGTAGGACTCATATCCATCCAGAGACTTGACGGTAAGCAGCAAATGCTGGTCCTGAAGATACTCTATATCGGAGAGGATGGGCTTCAGAGTGGTGAGCTGCTTCGAAGACCAGCCCACACGCAGGAAGTTTATATTATCACTGCTCTGAGTGTCGTTCTCATAGCTCTTCTTGAACTCTACAGGACAGAGAGAGAGAACAATGTTTCAGCACAAACCTTCAAGTTACAGGGATGTTTCGGTCACTGGCTTCTTTAGTTTTGCACTAAATAGATTACAGTATATCATACAGCATCAGTGGCACAGTTTGAAATAAGAGACAATTTGCTAATTAAAATATTGGAATAACCAAGCCTCCATTAGCTGTGAAGTAGATCAGCCTTATTGTTCTAGTACAAACTGAAGACACTGAATAGCTAAAAAGGGTAGCAGCAGAAATACTGAAGCCATTAAGCTGTACTTTTGTCCATGTTACAACAGCCTCATAGTTCCAGTGTAGATGTCAGACACCAACCATGTCTTGCCTGACGACTACATTTGGGGTGAGAATATTTGATATTTGGCCAAACCATTGCCTCAAGAAACAAACTGGCATAAGCGAGTGATAATGTACAGTAATTTTAATATTGTCTAATCTTGCTACAAGATTATCAGTGACACACATACAAACTTACGGCCTGTATTTCTTATAACTGAGTATACTACACCATTCATGAAGTTTTATGGGAAATTCTGATTCCTTCACAGTCAAAGTTTTGGTTGGGCTATTTTTTTTCTCAAAGCTTCTTTGAAGATGAATACAGTCAAATCTAATCATAAAATGAGAACATACAATTTTGTTGTCCATCAATTTCATCTTTGGCATATCAAAATAAACAATATAAATCCCAGTTAGTGCGGAAGCATTTCATATATTGCAAAAATACGCAATATGTTTAAATATGTTATTGAAGGAAAATCACACTACACGAATCACATAATTCTAATGTCTATTAAAAAAACTGCAATGTATTGTTTATTTCACATTTTATTCCTTCCTCCTTTCTTTATTCCTTAATTTTGACACTATAAAGTTCGGTCAGTAGGGGGGGCACTGCACTCACTGCACTGTTCAACCTCAATCTCCACCTACGAACACAGCCATTGGCTCACAGTGAATGCTGTCGTTCCATTGGCCCCTTACTGAAACATCAGCATGAATTAGATCAAATTAAACGAGGTGCTACAGGCTAGCGCTTGATTTCATGCACTGAAGCTGGTTCGCCATTTGGCGCTCAAATCTCCGCTTGTGTCCACATCGCACAAAAATTCCGTGGATCAGATGGAGAGTAACTCCAAAAAAAAACCCAGAACCACACCACGAAAAGCCACAGTAGATGACATGTGGCTTGAAATTTAAAGGCAACGGTTTAAAGTCTTCAAGAGTAACAGACACTAAATATTAGTGACACTAAATGTCAGCTAATGTGAGCTCAGAAACAATGAGACTGAAGAGTCAGTCAGCTGATACCAAGTGAGGCAAATCCATATTTTATGTTGAAAGTTTTATTACATTTATGCAGAAAGTAAAATGAAGCTTGAAGTTCTTACTGTGATGGATCTTACTGTGATGGTTCTTACTGTGATGGATCTTACTGTGATGGTTCTTACTGTAATAAAAACTGGTTAATTAAATGTTTCCTGAAGGAAATGCAGAATGGTTGCACAGAATGGTTTAAATGGTTCCCACTTCCTGCTAGGTTGCTAGGTGGTTGCTATGGTATCCAAGGTGGTTGCTAAGGTGTTACTAGGTGGTTGCTATGATGTCCCAGTTGGTTGCTAATGTGTTGCTAGGTGGCAGCTATGGTATCACAGGTAATTGCTAAGGTGTTGATAGGTGGTTGCCATGGTATCCAAGGTGATTGCTACAGTGTTGCTAGGCAGCTGCTATGGTATCCCAGATGGTTGCTTGGGGACTACTGGGTGGTGGTTATGGTATCCCATGCGGCTGCTAAAATGTTGCTACGACGTTGCCACGGTGTATGAGGTGTTTCTTAAGTCGTTCATAGGAGGTCGCTAAGTGGTAGCTATGTGTTGTTGAAAATGAATGGGAGTCTATGGGAGGAAGGAGGGATGAAAAAACAACACACAGAGGAGTGCAGGTCAGTATGGCTCTGGATCAGAGCTTGGGGATCTGCCCTGAGTGACTGTAGGGAAAAGATTAGGGCTTTGTTGGGGGCAAAAATGAATGGGACTCTGTAGGATGAACGGCAAAAATCCGGCAGAAAAATAAGAATAATAAAAATAAGAATAAAAGAGAAAATAAATAATATAAAATGAAGAACAATATAGTTAATTAGGACCAGCATCCTACCTTCCAAGCAGGTAGAGTAGAACTCTATGAAAAATTTGGTTCTGCTGGCCGTCTTAACTATGGCTTCAATATTCTCAAACTCTATATACGCCTGCTCTGACGACTTCGGCAAACCTGAGAGAGAGAGAGAGAGAGAGAGAGAGAGAGAGAGAGAGAGAGAGAGAGAGAGAGAGAGAGAGAGAGAGAGAAAATTAGGTCTCTGTATTGTAGTTTTAGGTTTCTTATTGGAGATGACATGCGTGCAGATGTTTGTCAGTTAATCGTACCCTTTTTGGAGACGAACTGTGACGTGACACCCACTTCAAACGTAGCGAACACAGGCGAGTGGTCACTGGTGACAATATCATCCGTGCAGCCTGAGAGATTGGAAAAGAAAAAGCTCAATTAATGGTACATTCACCTAAAATTACTTGATATTAGAGCTAACGAGTTTCTACATTTGGTAAAGTTCAAAAGTCAGAGAGATATGCAGAAAAGAAAATGACACTTCTAACTCAAGTAAAAAACAAACACAACTTTGCAGAAAAGATTTTAAGTTAGCCTCAGTTTATAGGGCCTCTGAGGTGAAGTATGGGGGCACCTCTCCAAACTGAGTTCCTGTGTTTTAGCCAAACCCATTGCCAACAGGTGTATAAAATCAAGCACATAGCCATGCAAACTTCATAGACAACCACAGGCATTACAATGAGTCATACTGATGAACTCAGTGACTTTAAACTGTCATAGGATGTTATAGGATGTCACCTTCACCACAAGTCAGTTTGTGAAAGTTCAGCCCTGCTAGAGCCGCCCATGTTGGCTGTAAGCGCTATTACTGTGATGTGGCAGTGTCTAGGAGCAACAGCAGCTCAGCCACAAAGTGGTAGACCACACAAACTCACAGAGACGGGATGCTGAGTGCTGAAGTACAAAAAAAATTGCCTATAGTCTTTAAATTGGTTGGCATTTTGTTGTCTTGTATTGTATGTTGCCCAGAGACTACAGCTGAAGAGTACGTTGGCTAAGCTGGTACATTTACAGACTGTAAGTGTTTATTAACGTGGACTGTCCCTGTAAATCTACATTGTCAAGTAAGGAGAAAAGTAGCAGGTCAAAAAACTACCTGGTAGCTGAGTAGTGTGTGGGATCTATCAGTGCAGCAACTGAATTTTGTTGCTATTCTTTACTTTTGGACAAAAATAGTTGTAAAGTGAGGGGTGAACCAATCACAAAGCATCACAGGAGCTTAACCAATATGAAAAAAACAATCTAGAAATCTGATGTTTGTAAAAAAAATCAACAACTGTTGATTGTTTTTGATTACATAATTGGCTTTATACAGTAATTCCAAATAGTTGCTGTGGTGTCACTACGAGGTTGTATTCCAGCTTGTTGTTAGGGCGTTGGATAGGTGTTGTTATGCATTGCTATGGTGTCCCAGGTGGTTCTTAAGATGTCGGTAGTCCATTGCTATGGTATACCAGAAATTTACAATAGTGTTGCTAGACAATTGCTGTGGTATCCCAGGTGGTTTCTAAAGTGGCACTAGGCCAATGCTATGATATCTCAGGTGGCTGCTAAAGTGTTGCTAGACAGTTGCTATGGTATCTCTGGTGGTTTCTAAAGCATTGCTAGGCAGTTGCTATGGTATCCCCGTTGGTTTCTAATGTGTTGCTAGGTCAATGCTATGGTATCCAGGTGGTTTCTCAAGATGTTGGCAGTCCACTGTTGTGGTATGCCAGGAGCTTGCAATGCTGTTACTAGGCTGTTGCTATGGTATCCCAGCTGGTTGCTAAGGAGTTGCTAGGCTGGTGCTATGGTAACACAGATAGTTCCTGAGATGTCACAGGCCATTGCTATGTTATCCCAGGTGGTTGTTAAAGTGTCACAAGACCATTGCTATGGTATCATTAGGCTGTTACTATGCTATCCCAGGTGGATGCTAAGGTGTTGCAAAGCCATGACTATGGTATCCCAGGTAGTTACTAAGACGTTGCTAGCATACTTGTATGATGTTGACATTAGCAGTGTATAAAAACACTGGCAACACAGTATGTTTAAGTCAGTAAATGACACTAGTTACAACCAACCTCTTTATATTACTGTAAATAGAAAACAATGCAGAATAAAGCAGTTTGTTTCTGGTTAAGCGCTGCTGTTTATGTCAGGACATTTTACCGTAGGAGTTGCAGACGATGTGCGTTTCTGGGTAAGATTTCCATAGGATTCGGTCACACCACGACGGCACGTTCGTCCTCATCTGACGAGAGAGTGTGAGAAAGAGGAGAGGGTTTTAATTTCCTTCTTCTGTCAGCTGTATCGTTTACACAGTTCATTTTAGAAGAACAGTTTAGCAGAAAACTATTAATTTACCCTAATTTTACCGCAAAGGTAGCAGATTGGCCAAGACGTGTGTCTGAAGTGTGCTTTGTTAGCATTGTGATTTAGCTAAAAAGCTAATGTACTATTGCATGCAAAAGTCTGGGCACCCCTGTTAAAATGACACATTTTGCCGATTTTCTAAATGAAAAGTAGTTAACATCACCTCCGCATGAAACAAACCCAAATATGACATTTATGCTAATTTTACTGGACATTTATTATTTCTTTGCTGGGTGACTTCAACATATAGGAAAAAACATACAAAACAGCATACAACATACAACGCAGCATGTGCATAAGTTTGTACACCCTTTAGGTCAATACTTGGTAAGAACTCTTTTGGCCTCCAAACGTTTCTTTTAGACAGCTTTTCAGGACTTTCTTACTTTTCCTTGCAGAACATGTCTATTTCAGTAATATTCATGGGTTGTCTTGCATGCACAGCAATATTTAAGTGTGAGGACGGTGAACCTTAATCTTTTGTTTCTTGAAGAAGTTCAGGGTTAATTTTGATCTATATTTTGGATCACTGTCTTACAATATCCAACCTCTTCTTCAGCTTCTTTACTGAATGTGGGACATCAGCTTCCAGGATTTGTTGATATTTAGTAGAATTCTTTCCTGCCTCTAGTAACACATTTCTTGTGCCCAAAAGAATAACAGATTCACCCCCTTGCTCAACAGTTGGCAAGGTGTTCTTTTCATTGAATGCTGCTCCTTTTTGTTCCAAATATACCTTTGTTGACTTGTGTCTGAGATACATTTTTGCTTCATCAGTTCACAGAATGTATTACACTCAGACTGGGTTTAAGGCCTAATGAATCAAAGCAGCTCTAATACTTAAACTAACAAAAACAAACAAACAAAAACCACCAGCGGATCAGCTGAAAGGGTGTCCAAACTTACGCATGCACTCTATTTTATATTTTTTCCCAATATGTATAAATCAGCAAATCAATAACTGTAATTAAAAATTTGCACAAATATGTGACGTAAAACTGTAGCTAACAAGCAATGAAAGCTTATGTACTGTAATTATGACTGTGAAAACTGCATGCCTGAAATATCACACATTATTTCTCCAAACAAAAAAATTACCTACATTTCTTGAAACTGATTCGGATTTCTGAATTAGTCATAAAGATTCCCCTTTGAAAAAGTGCTATACTAAGATAATGTTTTATTATTATTGTTGTTATTATTAGAGAGGCAGAAGGAAGGAGGATAAAGGAATGCTGTGACTGAGCTTCCTGTTTCACACTAAGGCCTGATTCACTTCCTTTCAGCCAGAAGGAGACACCTTTTTCCATGAGTCTCTCTCAGATACTACACATTTCCTCTCTACTGGTGTTTCCCAAAACTAGTTCTAATAAATAGGCCCAATTTTATCAAAGAAATGGACAAAAATATGGACTTCAACGTGGCTGTGGCTACTGTTTTAGTGGCATGATGTACTTTTTTTATCATCTTTTGGACAACAGTATGTCATACAGTGTCAGGAACTACATAAGCAACCCTATTACAGATGACTTAATTTACACATGCACTTTGTACGACGCTCATTAATGAGCAATAAGCTTTCATGACTTGTTCACTACATTAGCCTTGTAGCCTCAGTGCAAAACTAAAGCAGTAAACTTGAGACCCCAAACATGTCTTGGTGGATCATTTAACATAAATGCATAAACCAAATTATTCCTTTAAGATCATGAAGGGATTGATAACAACAAACTAAATCAGCAGGAAAACACTAAACTGTGGGCCACAGGGTTACTCCGGGACAGATACTAGAAAACACAGCTAGAAAGAAAGAGAGAAGTACAACGTCTGAACAAGAGAAAAACATGACAATATAGATTTCATTAATATTATTATTATTATAAAGTTCAGCAGCTTTATTTCGCTGAGGTAATTAAAAAATCAGGTTAGCAGGCCTCATTCGCCAAACCGCTTACATAGTTTTCACAAAGATTTTGACATTCACCAGTGTTTTCTTACTTGGGGTTTGTTCTTACACACACTAAAGAGCACAAAGAGAACAGCTGTGTGGTTTAAGAACACGTCATGAATCTGATGGAGACATTTTCCTAGGACCTTTCTCAAGATCACATTTAAGAAAAACGTAGGAAGATATTTAAAAACGTAGGAAGATATTGGTGGATGAGGCCCACTGTCTGTTAAATATGACGATGGAATGTGATTATTAGCAAAGACAAAATTATACTGCATATTTTTGTCACATTTTATTTTTTCCCTTGAGGGGAAACCGGGGCACTTTCTCCAGGAGAGAAAAAACTGTTTTACTTAATGACATTAACACTTCATTCATCCCTATTTTTCATTTAAAACATGCATTTTTAACAGTGCTCTGCTACTTACAAGGCGAACATAATGTTTAAGAGTCTTATTGTTAAACTGGTACATTACAGTGGTGTTTCTGATTCCTGCCTGAATGGAGCTCGAACCCTGCTCCTGTGTGCGTGGGTACTGTTATTCACTACACTACCTGACTGCTCCTAACAACAGTAGTGAGTAGCCATCTTGTGGATTAAGAGAGAAGCTGATGATGGTAACAGTGGCAGATTGGGGAAAAAAAAAAGTTTTCTTTGGGGACTATTTTGCCTTTGAGTACGTCTCCACTATTGACGAATTTGAAAAAATCAAGAGTAAAACAATGTCAAAGGCATGAGGCAGCGTATTTGTAATTATTTCATGTGATAACTTTCTATGAGGAAGCTTTGAAAGGCATTAAACTCTTCAGACCTCTGGTTCCTATCACCACCACTGTGAATTGTTCTAACTTGGTAACTTCCTCTAAAATGACATTAAACATCAAACCACTCTGACTGTCTTTAGAGTGGAATTCCCTTTTACAAACAGGTTAAACAGGTTAAAATTATTAAGAATGACACAATGAAAAAAATCGATATGTGGGCCCAAAACCTAGAACACTGTGCATCGTTTCTTCTCCCATCCCTACCAGAAGCTACAGAGCCTTCAATGTTTTACTTAGTGAACCTGTACAGTGCATACACCACCCTCTCTCCAATGACCTACCCCTGTGGCTTTCTGCTTCTGCCAGACGTATGTGTCCCGGGAGCCTCTCTCGTACCGGTAGGTGGGGGGATACGTGATCTCCTCCTCAGCTAAGCAAAGCAGAGAGAGTGAGGAAAAAAAAATGATGGACATGATGAAACAAGGAAGCAGGGTAGAGGTACTGATGCTGGTTGTCATGGTAACGTCTACACTAAACGGTACTCTATGTATGCACATCATTTTGGATCCGATTACTTGTAGTTTGCATGTAAACAGAGATTTCCATCAGAGTATTGAGTAGAGTGAGCACAAACACAGTCTTAATCTATAATCGGAATGAATCAATCAGATTCCTGCCTTAATGAAAAATCTTTGCATGTAGCCCATGTTGTGAAAACCACGCTGAGCCCAGGTTTTTAGGTGTTCCTTGTGGAACTGTGCACATGGGGAAATGCCACTGGAGCAGTTACAATCCATGCTCAGAACCGTTCTGCCCTGCAGTGGAAATGCTGTAGTGTTAAGACCTTCCAAACGAGTAGAGAGAGAGCGTTCAGTGTTATGCTTGCACTACCACTTGAGAATGATCTTTGTGTTAAAACACTTTTGGGAAGCTCAGCCAAGTGTGAAGAGAAGGCCTAAGGACTCAACTGAAATGCAAAAACATATTTAACTTAATTTATTAATTTATATTTAATATAACTGTCATATTTCTATGTAAATTCTAAAATTTCTTGCTGTAATATTCATTTCATTGTTAAGTTCTGGTTGGAAACAACAGGGTTAAATTCACGAGCCGCCCGATGGAAAATTTTCCCACTAGGATTAAATTTTTTTTTATTAGGCCTTCCTTCAAGGCCCTGAGCGTTCTCCTCTGCTCTAAATGTTTTGTGAGATCTCATTCTGCTCTCAAATATTTGGCCAGAATCTGATCTGAAGGTGCACCTGCTCAAGTTAAACAGGTTTCAGAGACACAAAGCTTATTTAAAAATAGGGCACACTCGTTACGGCTACATGTCCAAAAGCAAATATTTAATTATTATCTGCATTTGATTCAGGCCTGCTGAGTAAAGATGACCACATAGACCTGTGTGTGAGGAGTATATAATACACACTCTCACGCCTTTAAAAAACACAGCTAGGCTAGGACTGAAACCGTACCGAAGCGAAGGAAGACCTTGTTCTTCTCCCTCTCCAGATTTAGCTGGTCCACTTTCAGCAGTGGCTCAAACTCCTTCCTGTTTATGTAGTTTAGGATTTCCTGCGTGCGTGTGTCAGTGAAAGGGGCAGAAAAGAGAGAGAGAGAAAGAGAGAGACTTTAAGTCATATGCAAATCTTTATCCAACTGAACACAATACATACTGAACCATGTGAGTAAGCACATGTGCTTTATGATGAACCTGAACTTGTTAAACGAAGCAAATCACAGCCTCGCACGGCCAGACGTCGTCACGTAACGAGAACACGATTATGTTCGTTGCAAACAAGACTCCACCCACTGATTTTCCTAAAGAACTCAGCCCTAAATTCCTCCAGTGCATTTTTAAAAGGTGTGTTAGTTGACTTATTTCTTTTAGAACTAAGGTTCTTTGGTATCCCAGGTGCTGGTTAAGGTGTTGCGAGACTGCTGCTTTGGTATTCCAAGTGTTTGTTAATAACACACACACACACACACACACACACACACACACATATATATATATATATATATATATAAATGTTTGTCAACATTTTAATAATAATAATAAAAAAACACATGTATTGTTTACTCTCTGGTCAATCATTTCAAACCGGTAGAAGGTACCAGAAAATGTACATGTAGCACAACATGTTACTTAAACTGACTACAGTTTGGTTTGATAATGGCTTGTGACTCAACGGCAGATTGGTAAAGAAAAAAATCTTAGTAATTTAGCACTGACTGGCGTTTTTCCTATGGCCAGTGAAACTGTGGTGAGAATGACGAAATACTGCAGAGGAGCACTGTTAAGCTGGGCCTACACTACGCAGTTCTTTGCACGATTTTAACCCTGATATGCCTCTTGTGACAAATATTCACAACCTAAAGCATTTTTTCAGGTCAGGAGCTCGACTGGAAGCCACTGACAGCGCAGATGATCTGGTAGTTTGAACGGAGAGAAGAGTGAATCTTTAGCCCTCCGGTCGAAATCTAAAGTACAAACAGGTCTGGTCTAGTAAGTTTATCTTTGTTTGTGACGTGTGATCTCGGAGGATATCAAGGAGTTTAAGTTCTTACTTGTAGCCGAAACTCGTTATGTGTGTTATACTCTCTTACCTTTTCGTCTGGTGTGAGTGCCTCACGACAAAAAGACAAAATATTCTGAGACAAACTGATGTTAAGTTTGTGAAGTGCTCCGTTTTAGAAATCTGTTAAGATTGTTTCTACTTTGCCTCTTTTGGGTCCAGAAAGAATGCTTTAAACCGTCAGGCTCCGACACCGCTAAAACAAGAGTCTCCTACATTTAGATTTCACTGCTATATGCAAAACTACCTCTTCTGTAGCCAAAGCAACTACGCTGATGATTGTTAGTTCACTTGTTACAGTTCACCAAAGTTGAACCTGAAGCTAAGTTAGGCATGTGAAATTTCACTACCACTGTTTGCAAAGGAACTTCATTTAAACATATGAATGAAAGCAACTTCCTTTTAACCGTACGGATGAATTTCACACTTAAATTTCTTTGCTGACGAAAGGCTACTAAGGCAGGGCCTAAAGGTTGTGTGTCAGTGTACCTGTATGTCCATATCCAGTCTGTAGTTGAGGTCTCCAAACCAAAACAGGTGTGTAAAGCGCAGAGAGATGTCGAATGAGCTCAGCTGCTTATCGCCCAATGAGAGCTGCCGCAGGATATCCAAGTAGTTCTGATTCCGCCTGTCGATGTCAAACAGTAGAGATTAAATAAAGCAAAGATTTAATAGATTTTTTTCCAATTCATTTTTCACTTCTTTACTTCATGCTGTTAACAGGTCCATATCTTACATTATTCTTGTATTTTAGTTTGTCCTCTGAGGTCTACTTATAATATCTGTGCAGGTTTATGTAACAAAAAACAGCTGTAACTCATTTTTACAAAGCTATTTTCCAACCTCTGTTTATCCCTTAGAATGCAGCTGCGCCTTCAAGACCAATATATGTAAACGAGCTCTGTTCTGACTGGCTGACCTGTAATGTGCCCCATTCACAAAACAGTCCTGGCTGAAACACTCCTTATACTTTCAGCATGGATGGGCGGGGCTAAGCTGCTGTAGAATGAATAGGCAGGTTGATGTAAATACTTTTCAGTGGTATCACAAAAACAGTGAACGGTCATTTAGTTTCACATATGGACTGTACACATGTGGAAGGACCAGCATGTTTTGAAACTATCAGTGATTTACTTTTATTACAAAAAAGTGAGGATTTGGGCCCTTTGTAGAACTGATTGAGTGTAGGGGAAGGTGATATAACCATATTTCATCATATTATTATAAAGAAAACACACACACTGATCAGGCATAACATTCTGACCACCTCCTTGTTTCTACGCTCACTGTCCATTTTATCAGCTCCACTTACTATATAGGTGCACTTTGTAGTTCTACAGTTACAGACTGTAGTCCATCTGTTTCTCTGATACTTTGTTAGCCCCCTTTTACCCTGTTCTTCAGTGGTCAGGACCCCCATGGACCCTCACAGAGCAGGTACTATTTGGGTGGTGGATCATTCTCAGCACTGCAGTGACACTGACGTGGTGGTGGTGTGTTAAGTGTGTGTTGTGCTGGTACGAGCGGATTAGACAGCCACAAAAACACACACATACATCCACACACAAATACACACACCCACACAGACACAAGCACACACACTGACACAGACACACACAAATACACACACACACACCATTTCATTTTACCTATGGATTTTCTCATTTCCAGATGTCAGGTGACAGTTAACAAAGCCAAACGATGTCCCATTAAACATGAAGGACACGCCCACGGCTCCTTTGTTGCCTAAAAGACAGAACAAAGTCAACAACAAAACCGCCAAACTGCAATTAAAGATGTGGTTAAGCCAGCGTTACAAACAAGATGGCTGGTACAGCATCTGACAGGCTCCGATCTAGAAGCAGATAAACTCAGTAAAACTCATCGGTAAAACAGGTCAGCCATCTCTCTGACTAACTTTTCACAGGTAAGGCTAAATTGTCTCTTAAAAGTGGTCTTGAAAGAAAGGTCTAATATTAAGGGACAGACTGTTTCAGAGCTCAGGGGCACGAGCGGCAAATGCACACATGCACAAAAGATCACAAAAGGTGATGAGCAAAAATGATGAAAACAACAGATTAAGAACTCTGACCACGAAGCAGTTTCGATGTGTTAAAGAATGCCATAAATAGAATAACACACCAGCATGAACGCAAGAAGCAAACCACTGGTAACATTCAAGAAGTGAAAAGCCAGGTTACAGCTCGCTACAAGAGGTTATCAGGTCCCTGCAGAGCTCTCGGACTGAGAGATAGACGAGATGGTCTTATAGACAGATGAGAAGACAAACCAGTGAACCAGAGTGATGGACAGAAAAAGTGAACTGAAATAAAGGAACTGCTCAAGATGCAAAGCTAACCACCTTGTCTGTGAAACATGGTGGTGGTAGCATCATATATGGCTGCTGATGGAACTGAATTTCCCAACTCTAACTAATAAAACTGAAACACTATAGACCATCAAATGGGAATTCTCGGGATGTCAGGATGGTGTTCTCAACTCCGAGCTCCGCAGATGACATAATATCAACATAGTTACACCACTAACAGTAATAAAGATAATGTTAAAAGATATCTGCTTATCAATCAACATACAAATACAGTTTTTGCTGACCAACGCTGACCATAAAGGTTACCATTTTGAGAAGATAAATACATCACAAATGTTAAAGTTATCATTCATTCAGCTTTTTTTTATAGGGTTAAAAAATTTAAACATTTCTACATCTACAGTCCATAAACATGCCTACTAGCCTCTGTGGTGCTGCACTAGTCTCTAGAGCAAGATATTCTGGTTTAAAGACTAGAAAAACATCCTTCTGATGATGTATCATTCATTAGCTATCTGGCTTGTTGTTGGTTTCATGGAGGTGTCCATGTTGTTCCCACTTTGTAGCTCCAAAGTGAAGCAATTCCGAGCTCTGACTTCCAATTTTATGTAAGATAAAGCTGAAACAAGACTAAAAATGTGTCCGACTCCTCCCTCACTACACTATAAAGCAGCACTGAGCTCAGCTGAACTTATGGCTCATGAATAGCTCAAAACCATAGACACAAAAACTGTGCTCAACATCTCAAGAATGTCAGGATATCCTCTTGCACGTGTGTGTACACCCTAGTGTGTGTGTGTGTGTGAGAGAGTGAGGGTGAAAGCAAACTGGAGCTCTGTTGTGGGCCACAGTTTGACAGTGTGAAATATGCTATTTTGCTCCCACGTCCATGTCAACAAAATTAAAAGTGTCTTTACTGTAAGCTGCTGGTTTTCAGCCTTCTCACCAACTTACCAGGCAATTTCTCAAACAGGAATTTCACACCACAAGACAATTCTCTCTGTCTCTACTTTCTGTAGATTTTTCTGTCTATGTATGTTTTTGAAGGCATTTACAGTAGAGACAGTGCAGTATTATTCTCAATATAGTGCATACACAGGTCTGGGCAAAAGTCACAGGCCACCATTTATTTATTTAATTTCCAGTCAAAACAGTCTTTAAGTACAAGTTATAATTTTAAGATATTTCTGAGAAATCTAACAGATGTAACTGGAGTTCAAAACATGATTGAAAGATCACTGAAAAACATCTGAACTGAACGAAAGCTGTAATAAAGGCAAAGAGTGATCCCACTTCTTCCTCTGACACTGAAAAATTAATAGCTGTTTGACAAGAAATTAAAAATAAATAAAATAAATGGGGGGTCTTTGACTTTTGCACAGTACTCTATACACCATTTATACACTCACTGTCCACTTTATTAGAGACCCCTGGCTTGTAAAACCACTGAGTGACATTTTATGAGCTCCACCTACCTTATGGATCCACTATATCGATGTACAAATACAAACTGTTGTCTATCTACCAGCTGCCCTCTACCCTATTATCACTGGTCAGTGTCTGACTACAGGGCTGTTGCTGACCAGAAACAAGGGCGTTGTCTGGGTTTGAACATGTTGGTTTCACTGTAAGGTTGAGTAATAATAATATCCAAAAAATATCCCACTAAGAGTGGCACTGTGGTCAGAAACTGACCACTGATGAAGAAGATAATACAAGCTGTGAATACTGCGTGGTGGAGCTACAAGGGAGGGGGCTCTAATAATGCGGCCAGTGAGTGGATATTTATATATTTCTTCTAAAAATACAGTCTTTGTTTGTGTGTGCATACAAACTCTGACCCAGAGTGTTGGCAATTCCTGTTTTGACGCTGGACATTCCCACATGACTGATTCGGTTCTCGTGTTCCGGTTTCACCAGAACCACAATCTTTATGTTCCACAGAGTTTGCACAGCCACCTACAACCCAACGAAAGAGAGAGAAAAAGAAAAAAGGAAGAAAGAAAGAATAGACAGATGTATTAAACAACCAAATGCTAAAATACAGTGGATTCAAGTTTATGTGGAAACGTCTGACCACATGATGAGAAACACTGCTGTCCACAGGCTAATCAAACAGCAGAAAAATGGCTCCAAAAGAGGAAACTTCACAGAACAGAGATCGTAAAAACAACACAAACGCCCACCATAAACACAAACGCTGAGCGCTGACGGCTTCAATAAAGGCTCAGTTGACTGGTGCTCTATTTTAACGTTGATATTAAAGTTGTTTTCCCTTTAAAGCTGATACCACAGGACTGAACCTCTCTCGCTTACCGGTTTATAGTCGATCTCAGTGTAGTCTTTCAGAGCAGCTCGGAGGTTCTCCACCCACTCTTTATCACAGACGGAGTTCTCTTGGGCTCCGAACACATAGATGTCGTGAGGAATCGTGACAGTCATCTCATCCAGAGTTTTTCCCAAACCTCGAGACAAAAGCCACGAGCCTAACGCCTTAGGAGGAGGAACACTGCCTACAGAGACAGAGAGAGTCAAAGAGAGAGAACGTGTATGAGCATTTTGTTTGTTCTTAGTAAAATGCAGCATACCTAGACCTGACCAATAGTGACCTTCCTGACCTGATCTTCCTGATTCTCTCTATTATTATATCAGTCACAGTGAATATTTTTAGATTATTAAACAAAATGTTACACGAAAAGACCTCAAACACAAAACACATTTTTAAAAATACTACTTCATTTATTCATGGTGAACACAATCAACATTTGCTGGCTTAGCCAAAAATTTAAATCATGGTAAACTTGGAAGGTTTGACAGTCTCGGTATATCTCACCGTAACACACACAGTCAAAACATTATGACCACTTACAGACGAAGCGAATAATGTTAACTATTTTTTAATAGTGCATGTCAAAGCCTGGAATATTATGGCATGCGCCCATCCACTGGGCACCAACGATGGCCGCGAGAGCAGGCGGGAAGGTGGGGTCCGATCTCCGAGCGAGGACGAAGCCTGGCGAGGACGGTGGGGATAGGAGGACGGCGCGCCGATCCCAAATGCCGCTAAGGGATGCGAGTGACGGCGGAAGGAGGAAGCCTTCCACCAGAGAGAGGACCACGACAATGATGGCCATGAGAGGCACAAAGCCATCTAGGCCCTGCCTCCTGTTCCACAGCGAGGCTGCTTCACTACACCTCGCTTTCGATCCTGGAGGTCAAGATGCGGACCAGGGCCGGTGACGGGGAGGAGGGGTAATGAGCTTTCTTCCCTTTCGGGTCAGGTGCTCTTTTAAAAAGAGCAGAAAGGGAAGAGAGAGAGAGGGGGATGAGCAGCAGCAGCAGAAGAATACGAACAAGAAGAAGAAAAGACTAAAGAGCTGAAAAGCTCAGTTTGGGGAAAAGGACTGAAAAGTCTATTCTGAAGCCACTGAAAAGTGGCCAGCTTTGGTTTTGGTTGTGAGTTCCTCATTTGTTTTTGGAGTGAAAAATAAATTAAAATGGCTGCTGCGACCCTGAACCGTGCCTCCAGCGTCCTCCTTGAGCCCGGGCTAGCACAGGTCGTGCTACAAATATATGTGTTGGATGATGTGTTGGATGTGGGAGAAATGGGCAGGCGTAAAGACCTGAGCGACTTTGACAAGGGCCAAATCAATGTAGCCAGATGACTGAGTCAGGACATCACTGAAATGCCAAGGCTTGTGGGGTACTCCCGGTCAGTTGTGGTGAGTACCCACCAACAGTGTGTGGGACAACACACAATCCAGCAACAGGGTGTTCAGCACCCAAAGTAAACCTGAAATATTTTTATTGTGCAAAACAGCAGAAACATAACTGAACAGTACAGACACAGATAATAGAACAGAACTCGCCATCTCCGTTCTAGTTTATCCCAAAGGTGTGTGATGGGGTTGAGGTCAGGGCTCTGTGAGGGCCAGTCAAGTTCTTCCACACCAAACTCACCCAGCCAAGCCTTTATGGACCTTGCCTTGTGCACTGGGGCTCAGTCATGCTGGAACAGAAAAGGTTCTTCCCCAAACTGTTCCACAAAGCTGGAAGCTTACAATTGTCCAAAATGTCCTGCCACATAGTGAAGCATTATTCATCACTCCAGCGGAGCCCAGTGATGGCTGCTTTACACCACTCCAACTGACGCTTGGCGTTGTGCTTGGTGATGTAAGGCTGGCATGCAGCTGCTCGGCCATGGAAACTCATGCCACGAAGCTCCTGGTGCACTGTCTGTGCTGATGTTGATGCCAGAGGAGGTTTGGAACTCTACAGGCACCTCAGCACTCGGCGACCCGCTGTGTAACTTTACGTGGTCTGTCTTTTCATGGCTGAGTTGCTGTGGTTCCTAAACGCTTCTACTTTTCAATAATTACACATTTATAAACATTGACATGCTCGCTTATCTACGAAGATGAAAACCAAGACTTCTGGTTTTGTAACTCAGACATAATTTCGAAATATTATATCAACTTCATTCAAAACAATATTATATATATATATTATGCAGTTTAACTAATGAACCTCCTCCAAACCAGATGAAAAATGTATTTTATGGCTACTGTGAAAAGAGGGTAATATATAACTTGCATTAATGTGTGTGTGTGTGTCTTACCCATGTTCCATGTCCCTATGAATACGGAGATCATGTCAGGCTCGTCTTGGTTGGAATGCTTGTTCTTCATCAGCTGCAAGAGTTGGCAGAATGCTTCCCTTTTCTAACGGAAAGAGAGAGAGATTTAAAGCTTCTTTTTACAACCCCATTTCCAAAAAAAGTTGGGACGCTGTGCAGAATGTAAATAAAAATAGGATGCAATGATGTGCATATTTTTTATTTTTAAAAGGAAAGTACTACAAAGACAACATATCAAATGTTGAAACTGAGAAATAGTTTTGTTTTTTGAAAAATATACACCCATTTTGAATTTGATGCCAGCAACACATTCCAAAAAAGTTGGGACGGGGGCCTGTTTACCACTGAGTTTCATCACCTCTTCTTTAATAACACTCTGTAAGTGGGAACTGAGGAGAGTTTTCCTGTTCTCATTTGATACAGGATTTCAGCTGATCATCAGTTCAGGGGCTCATTTGTCGTATTTTTGATTTCATAACCCTCCAAATGTTTTCAGTGCTGACAGGTCTGGACTGCAGGCAGGTCAGTTTAGTGCCTGGACTCTTTTAATATGGAGCAATGCTGCTGTAATACATGCAGAATGTGGTTTTACATTGTCTTGCTGAAATAATCAAGGCCTTCCCTGAAAAAGACGTCGTCTGGATGGCAGCATATGTTGCCAAAACATGTATATATCATTCAGCATTAATGGTGCCTTCACAGATGTACAGGTCACCCATGCCATGTGCACTAATGCCCCCCTACACCATCATGAATACTGGCTTTTGAACTGTGCACTGACAACAAGCTGAGTGGTCTTTAGCCCAGAAGACACAGTGTCCATGATTTCTAAATAGAATTTCAAATGTTGATTCGTCGGACCACAGGACACTTTTCCACTTCCCCTCAGTCCCATTTTAAATGAGCTCAGGCCCAGAGAAGGTGGCAGCAATCCTGGATTCTGTTTATATCTGGTTTCTTCTTTGTGTTTTAGAGTTTTAATTAGCATTTGTGGATGCAGTGATGGCATTTGATATGTTGTCTTTGTAGTATTTGTATATGTTGTCTTTGTACTAACCGGCAGATTTTATGATGTACAGTAACGTTTAAAACCTAGAGACCACCCTTCATTTATTTAATTGCTGGTCAAAATTTAAGGTTAATTAAGGTTAAGTTCTTTATTTTCTCTGCAGATATTTCTGAGGAGATTAGATATAAAAAATAGGTATAGAAAAGACAAAGGAAATAGTCTATAGCTGTATGTATGTACATCTTTACCATTTAATTTTGTAAAAGAAATAAGCAACGAGATGGCATGTGTTATCATGGCTTTCCCACAGTTTAAAGCGCAGTGAAATCACTGTAATGCACTGCCTCAAGGGCAAGTGGCTTACAGCTTTTATAAAGAAAACATGGTACATCAATATATAATTACTGAATGCGGACATAAGTGTCTATTTAGAGTATTTTACAGCAGTGACAAACATGCCTCGGTCAAGTTTTAGAGCCAAAAGGTCCGTTTTTAGTATTACAGATGAGAGTAGGGGTGGGTGATATGAAAAAATATAACATCACAATACTTTTTCACGACACGCGATATACATCACAATATTCACTTTTTCTAAAGTTGGAACAGAAATAAACAGAATAAGTAGTGCCAGATTAAAAAATACTATGAAAAGCTTCAAACACAGTAATTTTTGTTCAATGTTTTGCATACTCTGTTGCACCAAATACAATTAAACACGAGTAATTACACTCTTCTTGAGATAAAACATGCAGTTGGTCAGAGTTCATTCTGCGTTTGGTCCATTTGGACGTCTTTGGCCCATCCTGCATTCATATTTCAAACAAACCACACCAGGGTTTGTTTAAAAGCTTATTGGCAGCGGCAAGGCTTAAATGTACAGTGCGTACACACTGCAGTAATTGCAGAGCAATCACACTAGGGTCTATTTTGAGATCCTAGTGTGCCAAGTGTGAACATGTCCCTAAGAACAAAATGCAGAGCAATATTGTGCATGTGTCTCACTTTAGCGCTCGCAAAGATGAAGTCCTTCCTCTGGCTCTTGTCCTTCTCCTTCTCAAACACGATACCCAGCTTATTTGGCATCCTCTGGGACTTTATCAGCTGCCGAACTGCTCAACAAGACATACACAAAAAAACAACAGAGCTTATTAACCTCACAAGATGACAACTACTCAGTGAGAGAGACATTACTGTCAAAAGTCTTTCTAACAAATAATATTAACAGAGATAATCTGACTGTGAAGATCAGTAACTACTACGAACTACAAACAGATCTAAACCCCCTTATTTGAACATATTGCTGTTTTCTCAACCCAGATTTGCTTTTAATTATCTAGTATTAACACAGCTGCTGCAACCTTGTGATTTAACGATTCTTTTTAAAAGTCAATGATCATATGCAGGACCTCTCGCCTGAGATTGTATTTCACTGACAATTCAACATGCTCAAACAGATAATGAGCATTTATCAATTTAAATTACTAAATAAGATGTAAATGTTGTAATTTGGCAATACATAAAGCAGAAGTATGATCACATTTGACCCATTTATGTCCAAAGACTTCAACAGGCACAATAAGGAAAATGGCCACAGATTTTTTTATGTTTGACAAACACAGCTAAAATTTTGTCATGTAAATTTGTGGCAAAGCCTATTAAACCAATCTGCATTTTAGTAAACCATAAATTTTATATTTCAATAACACTTAACTGTAGGGTACAGTTCATAAGGCTACATAACACCTACATAAGCTTGTCATGATAACTGACATAACTCTCCATAAATGTTTATTAATGCTTATTCCAATAGACATTATTCGCTATATATGTTACACTTGCCAATTTTGATCAAGGTGGCATTAATGCAGATGATGCCTATTTTGCTGCTTCTCGAACATAAAATCTTCCATAACAAATTCCCAGAAATACTGGGCCATTCTGGAGAAGAATGTGATGCCCTCAGTGATGAAATGATCATCGAATTTTCCAGGAAGACAATGATCCTAAGCATATATCCAAGTCAGCCAAAGTTTGGTTCGGCCAGATTTAAATCCCACTGAACATCTTTGGTGAGATCTGAAGAAAGCAGCGGCAGCACAGAAGCCAAACAATATCAGTGAACTTGAAGCCTTTGTACAGGAGGAATGACCCACATTCCAAAATAAGAGGTGTCAAATGCTACTCAGCACTTACAGGAAACGTTTCTTGGAAGTTAAAAAGGAAAAGGATGTGTTACAAAGCTCTGATTTTGGGGGTTGAATAATTTTGCGCATCACTTTTTTTTTGAGAGATTTTAATTTTTCTTCTTAATTAATAGGAAACTCAGTGGCATGTTTTCAAAATGTGTATTAATAAACTTTCTTTGATCACTACAGCTTTAGTTAATATATTTTCATTGCATTTTTGTTCATATTTCTAAAAAATCATGTGGGTTAGAGGGGTTGAATATTTATGATTGCGACTGTAGCACCAAAAAGAATTCTTTTGCCATAGAACCATTTTACTACTTCATAGAACCCTTATTGCTAACGTACTGTAACAGTAACACTTTACCTGAACCCTGTTACATAATCATGCCATAAACATGCCACACCATGAGCTGTCATGACAATTTAGGTCCAATAATGTTATGTTACCATCATCGTTAACTGTCATGACACACGGCATAATGTCTGAACTGAAGTACACTGAACCAAAATGTGATGGTATCAAACATTATGGCGTCTGTCATGACAATTACTGGTGATGGAAACATGAAACTGTGATATTAGCAAACCAAATCTGCAATGACATGTTATGGCCTGGTTATGTCAATGTTATGAGGCAGGGTTCCAGTAAAGTGTTACCAGAAAACCTCTCTCTGGATGTGCTCACTCTTATCATGGGTGAAGTTGGTCCAGTCCTCCTGAGAGTCCTTCATCTTCTTCATCACCACCAGCTTCCCTCCCTCCACATCCACGCTGAGTGTGTGTTTCTGGCTCTTCCCGATCTTAGTGAGATCGGCCAGGTACACGTCCAGCTTCACCTATTACACGTATACATACAAACATGCAAACACACACACAGAGAAATTGGCACGCTGTGAAACAGACTTGCCTTGCCTGCACTTCCATTAAACCTTAAAAGCTTCAAAGTTCAGTTGTTTGTGCCTGTTTTTGAACAAAAGCTTGTATCTCCAAAATGGTAAGTCAATGGAACCAGACTGTATTTCTAAGTAATTCTGGGCCATTTGTTTTGGTCCATTCATCATGAAATTTACACACAATGTAAAAGACAACAGATTAACAATTATGTCAAAAACCGAAAAACGACAAAAATGGAGATACAACGTTTTGTCCCAATATAAAAAAAAAAAAACACACAAACATGCACGTGTTTGTGTGTGTGTCTTACCTCGAAAGCCTGGACAGGAATGGCCTTGCTGTGGCGTGTGGACAGGGGGATGGAGGGAACAGCCACACTCATATCCTGCAGAGCTTTCAGAGCCTAGACAGAGAGAGCGAGAGAGAGAGAGAGCGAGAGCGAGAGCGAGAGCGAGAGCGAGAGAGAGAGAGAGAGAGAGAGAGAGAGAGATACAGACAAGCATACAGAAAGACAAAGATGAACAGGTCTTCAGACTCGTCTTATCTGTGTGTAAACAGTGAGATCTGCAACACAGATGGCCTTGTGTGTGTGTGTGCACATACCTTCTTCTCTATGGAGGACAGAAGGTCTTTGAGAATGGCCAGTTTAGTGACCAGATGCTCCAGCTCTTGATCTCCACCCTGACTTACAGACTTAGAGAGAGAGAGAAAGAGAGAGAGAGCAAAGGGTAAGACTGCTATTTCATCATCAATAATAAAGTAAATCTATACATCGGTTGAAACAGAACGTAATGAATTATAAGCTGACCTGCACAGCGAAACAACGCAATTAGCACAATGAACGCTTCTGTTCTCTCTCTCTCTATCAGTGTCTACCATTAGCAGATACTAACCATTTCCAAGTCTCATTGATCGTGTTTCATATTGCATGCCACACACACACACACACACACACACACACACACACACACACACAGTCCATTTCTCTTACTGGAGGAAGATCAGGATGTGGACCCTCCTCATCCTCAACTCAGTGCCAAACTGTGCACACACACACATTTGTCTTACAACAATTTTCTAATATAAATAAGAGCATGTATACAAATCTCTTTAAAACTACAAAAAATACTAAAATTAAATCATTTATTATTATTATTATTGTTGTTGTTGTTGTTGTTGATCTGTTAAAGGCGGGAGGCGGGCTGTGAGAACCCGAATGCGAAATCTGAACCCAGCCCGAGCTGGACACATCTTTGAGAAACGACGTCCAAGCTCGGCGTAAGCAGTCGTGTTCCGATGGGTTGGGACAAGCTGTAGTTCCTGGCAGGAAGTTATTAGGAAGAGCTCCTTTGTCTCTTTCACAAAAACAGAAACGGGACTCAAATGGCAGTTTCTCACACACTCGTTTGTCTTACATTACTTGGTGAGGACTTGGTGATTTCTGTATTACTGTTGCCATTACCAAGTAATAGTAAGCCTAAACACTAAACCTAAACCTAACCTTAGTATCCAAAAGGCAAACTTTCCCCTCTTTTGCTTTTTCAAAAAAAACAAAAAAAAAAAAAAACAAAACAAAAAAAAAAGAATTTGCATTGAAAACAGTGTGTGTTCAAATGAGGACCAGCAAAAAGGTCCTCACTTGAACAAAATCTAACATTGGCCTATCATTGCGAGGACAATGGTGGCAAGACAAGTACATTCTCTCTCTCTCTCACACACAGACACACACACACACACACACACACACACACACACACACACACACACAGACACACACACACACACACACACAGACAGACACACACACACACACACACCCCAAACAGTATGAGCTCACACTTCTAATTTTAGTCTTGGCTTCTCTGTTCAGTCTGAGTTCATGGCTACAGTTACAGTTTCTCGACTCAGCAGGAAAGTTGAGTTGCTCCATCAGTTTCTCATGTCATACAAACTGCCCTCAATGGCATTTCTTTAAAACCTATTTTCACCTGGTTTGACTGCATGCTGTATAACATACAAATAAAGGAGAAGGCCACTCACCTGCTGAATCATTCTGGACACCATAGAGGCACTCTGCTGATCGAAGACTTTAGAGAGGATCTCCAGGCCAGACAAAACCTTATCCACCTCTCTGCAGACAGAGAGAGAATAGAATGTTAAACAGTGGCAGGTATTAAAGAAAAGAGGGAAGGAATAAAGAAAAAGAAATTAATCAATAAACAATAAAATAGACTGACTGACCAGTGAACAGATAACACGACTACGAAGACTGGAAAAGTATAAAAAAAAAAAATGACTGCAACAAGAAAACGAAGAAAACATAACAAAGAGATACAGACTGACTGACTACCCAACAGACAGCATGAATATGACAAAAAGGAAAGAAAGAAAAAAAAAAAAGGAGAAAGAAAAAATAAGAAACTTGATTAGCCAGCACAAACATACCAGGAAAAAAAGCAAAGAAGAAAAGAAAAGTAAAGAAAAGAAGGAACACAGCAATATAGACAGACTGTGTATCAACAGTATGGACAGGACAGGAAGGAAAAGAAAAGAAAAGAAAAGAAAAGAAGAGAAAAGAAAAGAAAAGAAAAGAAAAGAAAAGAAGAGAAAAGAAGAGAAAAGAAAAGAAAAGAAAAGAAAAGAAAGAAAAGAAAAGAAGAGAAAAGAAGAGAAAAGAAAAGAAGAGAAAAGAAAAGAAGAGAAAAGAAAAGAAAAGAAAAAAGATGGAACATAGCAATATCGATAGACTGGGTATACACAGTATGGACAGGACAGGACAAAAAAAAGAAAAAAAGAAAAGAAAAGAAAAAAGAAAACTGAATTATATAAAATTCCCTCATTCATCCAAGCTCATCTGGGCCACCTGTGATGTGATGTTCATTTTGCGTACTGTGGCTGATCTCAGCACGATAAACGCCAATACCGTGACACTGATCAATAATCATCATGCGCTGCAGGCTTAAAGAAAACAAGCGCGCGTGTCTGTTTACCCGTGCAGGCGCTTGCAGGACGACACCAGAGTCTTGTTGAGGTGCGGCAGGCTGCTGGCGCCCTGCTTCACTGCCTCCAGATCCAGAGCATAGCTGCCCTTCAGATACTCATGAGAGATAGTGCTCAATCCATTCCCTACAGGAGCACTGCAGAGAGAGAGCGAGAGAGAGAGAGAGAGAGAGAGAGCGAGAGAGAGAGAGAGAACAAAAATGTTAAACACTGGCAAACAAGGATAAACTAAAGATAAGAAGACATGACATGACATGAAGATAAAAACTAGAAATAAAAGGAAAGAAGAATAAAAGACGAGAGGACGGGACAATAAAGAAAAAGAAAGAGGAGGACAAGACAGGCAAGAAAAGAAAAGACAGGAAAGACAAAGGAAAGACAAGACAGGACAATAAAAAATAAGAAAGAGCAGGACAGACAGGACAGGACAAAAGAAAAAAGAAAAGACAGGGCAGGGCAGAAAAGAAAAGACAGGACAGGAAATGAAAAGAAAAACAATGTAAGACATGACCGGACAATGAAAGAAAAAAGAAAAGAAAAGAAAAGAAAAGAAAAGAAATGACACAACAGGAAACGACAGAAAAGAACAGGGCAGCACGGGACAGGGAAGGACAGGACAGGACAGGACAAAATAAGACAAGACAGGAAAAGAAAGGAAAGAAAAAGCAAAGGAAAGGAAAGGAAAAGGCAAGACAGGACAGGACAAGACAATAATGGAGATGAAAAGAACAAAGCGCAAAAAAAGGAAAAGAAAGAACAGGACAGGAAAAGAAAATTAAAGACAGAAATGGAAAAAGTGTCAGACAGGACAGGACAATAAAGGAAAAGAAAGGAATGGGCAACCCAGGACAGGACAGGACAGGACAATAAAGGAAAAGAAAGGAATGGGCAACCCAGGACAGGACAGGACAGGACAGGACAATAACCTAAAGGAAAGGAAATGGCAAGACAGGATAAGACAATAAAGGAAATGGAAAAAAAGAAGAGCAAGTGCAAAAAAGGAAAAGAAAGAACAAGACAGAACAGGAAAGGAAAGGAAAGAAAAAGAAATGACAAGAACATGAAAGGTTTTGTTTTTGGGTGCCCTTAAGAGGTCAGAGCGTTTGTATGACCTGCACAGGAAGAACAGCAATGCATGCGAGACTGCACAGAGGACAGAGGTCAAACAGCAAAACAGTAAAATAAACAAATGATAAAATAAATAAAATGAATAAAAATGTAAAAACACATTTTCTACATTTCACAGCTGCTACTGAACAAAATATTAGCTAAAACATTTTGTGCTACAAGCACGTTTTCCAGTAGATCTAGCTTGAAAAGACAGGTGGCAGAAAAAGCCCAAGGGAGGCGTCTAAACCTGAGGGCTTGGTTATGGTCCTTGAATCCAGTTTTTAGTCCTGGATTCTGTACTCACTCGTAGTTAACTGAACTGTTGATGTAACAGACTGTCCACCTAACGTCACACCTAAAAAGAACCAGATAAACCAGACGACGCTTCACCACATTCACGCTCTTAACTCTGACAACCAAACACAAAGGCCTCATTCATCCCTGCATCCTGATCTGAGTAGAAGAAGTGAGTAGTGAACATTCGGTCTTGGACTGGAATCAGACCAACAGGCGGATGCTGGGGGAGGGGCCTACCTCTCCGGAGGCGTGTCTGTACTGGGGAGGGAGAGGCCACCGGAGCCTGTACGAGGGGGAAGGGGGGGTTTATCATCCTCTCCATCTGTAACAAAGACACATCACACAATTTAACAGGCCTGTGTTTTATTTTTATTATTGTTCCCTCAAAGTCCACTTTAAGATCTGTGTGGTTTTACTGCACGAAAACAGCCCTAAATCATTTTATATGACCAATTCCAACTAGAGCTGCACAGAATCGGCCAACACACAACTGGCAATCTGATCATTCATTATTCAGATTTTTTGTGTCTGTCTGTCTCTCAGCCAGTCCTGTCGGTCTGTCTGTCCGTCGGTCCTGTGTATCCATCCATCTGTCCGTCAGTCCTGTCCGTCGGTCCTGTGTCCATCTGTCTATTTGACAGCCCTGCCTGATGGTCAGTCCTGGCGTGTGTCAGTCCTGTCTGTTGGTCAGACCTAGTGCCTGTCTGACAGTCGGTCCTTGTGTCTGTCTATTAGTCGGTCTGTCTGTTGGTCGCTCCCGGTGTCTGTCTGTTGGTCGGTCTTGGTGTCTGTTTGTCAGTCCTGTCTTTTAGTCGGTCCTGGTGTCTGTCTGACGATCGAGTCTTGTGTCTGTCTATCGGTCGGTCTTGGTGTCTGTCTGTCAGTCTCGTCTGTTAGTCCGTCCTGGTGTCTGTCTAAAGGTCAATCCTGGTGTCTGACAGTCGGTCCTGTCGCCTGTCTGTCAGTCAGTCCTGTCTTTTAGTCGGTCCTGGTGTCTGTCTGACGGTCGGGCCTTGTGTCTGTCTATCGGTTGGTCTTGGTGTCTGACAGTCGGTCCTGTCTCCTGCCTGTCAATCAGTCCAGTCTGTTTGTCAGTCCTGTCTTTTAGTCGGTCCTGGTGTCTGTCTGACGGTTGGGCCTTGTGTTTGTCTATCGGTCGGTCCTGGTATCTGTCTGTTAGTCGGTCCTAGTGTCTGTCTGACGGTCGGTCCTGGTGTCTGTCTGTTGGTCAGTCCTGGTGTCTGTCTGTTGGTCAGTCCTGCTGTCTGTCTGATGATCCTGTCTGTTGTCCATCTCTCTGTGGATTTGTTGGCCAGCTAAAAACTCAATGTAATCGTTCAGGTCAGGTTGGGTTTGGACAGAAATTTGTCGACTCAGGTCAGTTTTGGAAAACTTAAAGAAGTGTTTAGGTCGGGTTAAACTGTTGGTGCATTACAGATACATTAAATACCTGTTTATCTCTGCATGCCATCTTCTGTGCATCAACTCAAATGCTTAGTGACCAAGTAAAGCTCTATAAAACACTAAGATCCATCTCTATTAGTGTGCAGAAAATTACACCATCACACGAATGTTGGCATGGTGCCAGCGTCACTGGTGAACAGAGAAGACTGTCACAGAAGAGTTTTGGCACTGAGTATTGTTAATTTAAAGTGAAAAGGCAGGGGGACGCACTGAACTCTTATTTTCTGTTGTATAATACTGGGTTCGCCTGGACTTTAACAATGAGACATTTGGCAGCCACGCCTCCCAGTCAAATAAATAAATAAATAAATAAATAAATAAATAAATAACCAACACTGGTTTATTCCACTGTGGCTGATGGGAAAATTAAACTCTTGAAGGAATGTCCTGTTGATCACTGTGAAAGAGTTTTCCATGGTTGCTCTGCTGAAAACAAATATCAGGTTTGCCATTGTCCGCCTACCACCAACACAAACGCATCAAATCTGCAGGTCGGGTTCAGATTTCAGATTTGAAAGATGGAACCACTTACAACGCGCTGCAGCGACACCACAGTACATATTCTCAGCACATTCTTGTACTATATTTATATTTTTAATTGCACTGTTAAAATGTGAAAGTACATACAATCTCAGCTGGGGTGCCTGACATCCTGCAAGCTAATGCTAGACAGCATGTATTCCAAACAGTGAACTGCTGTACTGACCCTTACTAGGGCCGCAGTGTATGCCCTTCATACCTCTAGTGAGACCACCTCCATGAAGTGTGGGTTAACTTGTGTATGCACTGTGCTATTACCCGCTCGCCTGCTGCTAAGAGAGGCTAGTGGGCCTGACGAAGCCGCGGATGTGCCGTCAACGCAGGTGTGGGACGCGGACTTTCTAAACAATCTCTCAGTCCCCTGAATATTCACTGTTGATTACTGCCGAAGCTCTAGAGCCCAAAAATGTATTCAGGACAGTCCTAGCTTCAATATCACACCAATGCAGATCTCTAGAGTGTGTGTTCGTACCTGAGTAGTCTCTCTCCTCGGCACTCTCCTCTCTCTCCACAGGCAGCAGCAGAGTGGTGACGAGCCCCTGGTTGGGCTGAAGGTACAGCTGGATCAGCTCTGGAAGAGTCTTAAACCTCTTTGGCTGCACACCCTGAGAGGTCTACCCACACAGAGACACATCAGAGAAACCTCAAGGTGAGCAACACATACAAGACAGTCTGGAATCAATAAGGTTCTGCACTGACAGTTCTGGGAACGGGCTTATGTTTCTACTGTACCGTTCCTGTCAGGTCCATTCAAAACAACTGTATTATGGAAGAGAGGAGGAGTATTAAGGCCTAGTGAAGCTGGATTAGTTTAACCTGGGGAGGCGCTGTAATTTGAGTGATTACTGGTGAGATGAGTTTAATCCAATACAAATCTGTAATGTCCAGAGC